ATTCTACAGACAGCATTGGTGGATTCAGAAATAAGAAGCAAGAAATGTGTGGGCCGTTTATTTTATTAACGTGTTGTTGTTTGTTCTCTTGTTTTTTTTGTAAAATCTCTTTAAAAAAAAATAATATTCGAGAGACATTCGTGGGTCTATATCCAAGGATAATCAATAAACTAAAACTATCATGAGTATTCTTTTAGCTAATAAACCTATGAAGTATAGTTTCGTTTTTCGTCAAAAATATGTAAGACATGTCTGCATCTCCATTCTGCACTCTTCATGAGAACTTAGATCTAGAATTAAACACTGGCAAACAAAACGAAATGATATATCTATGGCGTATTAGGTCATGTTTTCACAAGGTCTTTTTGTGTATAATTACCAAACGAAAGAGAAACGTCGATAAAGTTTTTTAAAGCGGGTTCGTTTTATTGGTCACCGGCAACCTTATTATGTTCGATAAAAAATAAATCAAATTACGATAATGAAAGCTATATAGCGAACATCTGGAGAAAAATCGATACGTTTCGTTTTAGTTTTATGTACACAGGCATTGCTCGGAGCATTGTTACACATCGGTAATGGGAAAGAGCCCTTAATCATGTTAGTAGCACGCCGCACTCAATCTGATCAAGAGGAAGATGCACATGCTATGGAAGCAATAGTGGTCTATCATCAAGCTTTTCGCACGGACTGCAAATTAAGATATTCTATCCTTGTATTTGTAATGGACGATAATGTTTAGACAAGTAATAGCTACGAACGACATTGACGTTCGGAAAGATGCGATTTGCTTTAGATTCATTATTGTCGTCAACCCATTAGGAAGGTAGGAGAAGACAGTGATCTTGTGACTTGATTTTAATTGCTGCAGGACAATTTTAGCAAAACTGGATGGAAATCGATAATCTTTTTATCACTTATGTCTCGACATCGTTTTGGCTTCATCATTTATTTGCTTGGCCGGTTGCTTGGATTCTGAAAAAAAGCAATTCCAGTATCTTTTTAGCTTGGCTCGCTACCGAAAAGGCAAAAAGATAACGCTGTTATTTCTTATTGTTAATCATTCTGAGAATCGAAATGGGATTTTAGCATCTAACACATTGACAACTTTCAGATTTTAAAAAGTCATTCTGCATGCTTGTCTAATCGTTGATCAGTTTTGGGCTAATCATTGTGAATGGCTTCGAATTCGTCGTTCAAGGATTGCTGCGAAATTACGACGACGACATTCTCGGCACCATGGACGTCGCCCGATTCATTGGCAACACAAAATCCCTCCTATCGCATTAACGACTTCATTCAGCGCAGCATCGTCGCAGCCCTACTATCCCTCATATCTATCATCGGCCTTGGCGGAAACATCCTCGTTCTCTTTTCGATACTTCTTTCTCGTAAGCTGCAAACTCAGACAAATATCTTTGTGGTCAATCTCTGCGTCGCCGACTTTCTAACGTGCCTCTCGCTGCCCTTCCAGGCGGCTGCGGCCGTACTCGATGATGATACGGGTTTGTTTCTGTTTTCTGATGGCTTCTGCGCCCTGGTGACGATGCTGGAAATCACGTGTCTTGGGAGTAGCATACTGACGTTGACCTTGATAGCTGTCAATCGCTTCGTGTTGATCACCAGATCGAAGGCGACCTGCAGGCGAATCTTCTCGCCGCTTGTCCTTGTCATCGCGTTTTTGATGACGTGGTTGATCCCAGCTGCAGAGTTCGGGATACCTGCCGTCGCAGGATTCATCGAGCTAAGTTATTATCCTCGATTTCGTATTTGCGCTTGGAACGAAAATTACCCACTTTCTAAATTCCTGATAGGTCCCACCTTAGTCCTAGCACTTTCCGTCACGCTGGTTTGTTACGCCAAAACATACCTCTTCGTCAGACGACACGCTAGATCTGTGGACAATTTAACGCCGGCAGTTTCGCGTCAAAATGTCAATCGTAGTCACACCAGTTTGGCAGACACACCACGTATAGGAAATGTCGAAGACTCTCGTCATACCGATATCGTACACCAAACATCAGGTGCGAAGAGCTCTAACCGACAGGAATCAAACACTATTCCTCTTGTTATTGAAGAAGATCTACTGCAGAGCACGACACGATCGACGCGATTTGGATCAAGTATTATTGAGGACAAGGATGACGACGTCGGGATTAACAGGCTCGATGTCGAACCTATGAGCGCCACCAATGATATATCGAAAATTAAAACGAAATCGAGTTCCCGAAGTTTGGAAACGGAGATCAGCAAAAACCTCTTCGTAGTCGTTTGCGTTGTCCTCATCAGCATCGTACCTTTCGTTACTTGCTTGTCACTGTCGTCTTGCCAGGAACCTTTCATCTATACCGTGGTCATCTTCTGCATGGGGAGTTGTGTCAATCCAATCATTTATGGGTTCAGGCACCCGCACTTCAGACCGGTCTTTGCCTCTATCATCATGTGTCGGCTGTCTGACATCCCACAGCCTTCGGCACTGGCGCGAAAAATCATCAAGAAATCTTAAATGACAATGTTTTCTAGTATTCTGTGGAACCTATCGCACAGCTGTCTACTAATTTCACAGGGGTTGATCTAAACAGTTTTATAATGATCTTTTATGAATGATGCGAAGTGACATCATCTGTAATGATAATAGCATTAATAATGTACTCATTTCTGTTGATGATAGTGCTGCAGAAAATCCTAAACACTGTGATGGACTTCATGATTCTGGTTATCACATTATTTATCTTTGTAATAAAGATGTCACTAACTCATTTTGCCACTAACTGTTCAAAATATATTATTTTAGTATCATGACGCATCATGATCTCATCACTTACTTATAAAAATATATTGCTAAAAAAAAAGCCTGAAGTTGTTTTCATACACAGAAGTTGTCAGTAAGAACAGGGGAAGGGTAGAAACTTGCTTTCATTTAAAAAAAATGAAGAGTTGAAATGACCGGATTTGAATACCGGTAGCCACGTTTTAAAAAAGGTCTAGTTGCTCCGGCCGCAAATGTTCACTACAGGAGAAAAGAAAGAAAAACAATTCGCGTTGGAGATTCAGGCAAATCATACGGGGTAACGGTGGAATAGATTTACTCAAAAATATTAAGCATGGTGAAGAAAAAAACATGCAAAACGCTTTTTTCTAGTATTGTAGTCCTTGTAGATATTTAGGGTTCTGTTCTGCTATTTGAGATGAAGTCATTTCTTGCACAATTTACGTATTTTGTATTTAACATCTCCACAAGCACAGCATTCATGTTACATTCGTGAACAAGCACATTGTTGCTGCGACCCTATGTTGATCATTAACTCTTCAAGTCATAGAATAAAATTCACCCTTTTTCACATAACTATTTCTGAGAAGGTCATTGATTGTAAATAAGTAACACTAATTGCCATGCTAGAATCATGAAAAGAAATTACACGACGAGACCAAATATGAATAGATTGTTAACACAAAAGAGCAATTTAGAGATCGAGAACAGGATGAGAATGAGGGAGGATGGCGAAAGAAAGGGATGCTTAATGAGTGAGAGGGGGAGTGAGATAGAGAGAGAGAGAGAGAGGTGGAGGGGCAGAAGTAAAAGAAGGGTGATCACACTGCCTGTGCACACAGTCTGCCCCATGCACATACATACACACAACAGCAGTCAGTTGGTAATAGCAATTTTCGTAAATTTATTTTTTAAAAACTGAACAATATTTTTAAATTTTTATTTCACATATCTTTCAAGCATACCTTTAACTACAATTCTGTGTAGTTTCATTGTTATAGGCATGTGGGAAATATGTTAAATTATCAATTAGAATATTGTCTTTTCAGCCACGTGTGACATGGCCCGCTGATCGCCCATTGACTGTTATTCTGCGTGGTGAAAATGCACGTCAATGTATAAAACTCCCCTACAAAAATGCAATATCCTCATGTGTTTTATTCATTGGATCAAATTGTTATTTACACTCAAGGTAGCCACAACTGTACTGGGATCACCAAACTCTCTTTTTCTCTGAAATTCAGTCCCTGTGGAATGTTATGGCCTGTTGAATTAAATGGTTTCTCGGAAAATCGTCATAAATCCTTAAATCTGACATTTTTTTAAAAGAAACTATACTGTGATGTAGCTGAAAGTCTGCAGATTCTTATCATTTGTTCGGTTTTTCTGAATAATTTGTGAAACATGAGAAAATAGCTGTAACGGTGATCCAAGTAATTTCCATCGCCATATTTTATTGGCATTGCAAAAATATTTGGAATTAATGTTAATATTTGGTGTAAATATGATCTTTTTTATGATTTTAAAAAATGCCAACAAAATGAACAGTTTGACTTTCCTATATAGATAATTAGCTGAAATGACCTAATTTGCATATTTGATGAATATTCATAATTTTTTTTTTTTTCAAAAAAAAATATATTTCCATATTTTTTGTCTGATATACATAGGTTTCATTGATGTATCACGTTGTTTTGATTTGATTACATATGCGCATATTAATTAGACGGACTTAGTTATTTAGATTCGCAAAAATGGCAAAAATGACTTATTTTGTTTGCCTCCGTTTTCAAAACGGTAATAGAAATATGAATTTTCTTTTTTGTATTTTTTACCACAAAGATGATATTTTAGTGTCTAATAATTTAATTCATTATTTGTGTCCAAGAAAGTGATGAATTAAGTTGTCAACTTTGTCAAATTTTGCCATTTTTGCCAATTTGACCACTTCTGGCAGGTTTTTCGCGATATCAAAAAAATGGTATAAAATCACAACGCATTGAACGATTTCAATTCTGTTTTTTGTTTGTTAAAGCTTTCATAAAGCTTGATCATTTGCAATCATCAAATAAAATGTGTTTGTTGTACTTATTTTTGGTGTGCTATACCTAGTAAAAGGAAGATATAGAGAAACCAGAGAAAAGGGAGAGTGTGAAAGAGAAATTACGCATTCGACACGTATCAGTTTTCATCACAGAAGACGGAGAATAATAAAATCCGCTCAATCATATTGCTTGTTACCATTACTGGAAATTTTTATTTTACCTCTTTTCATATGATTATTCCATACGACATATTATTAGCTTTTTTGTAATACAATTTCTACACGAGCACAATACCTTTTTTTACCTACATTTTGAGAGCTACACACAGAGTTTATATTACAATATAGATCATGCATTCTGAGATATTAAATTTGCACTTAATAATTTCTCCTCCATTAAATTCAAAGAGCAAGGAGAAGCAACAAGTAAATCATATTTAATTGTTTTGATTGATGCTGATGATGCAGAATAACCAAACCGCTTGTGCACAGAGTTACGCTTTATTTTAATCAAGTGATCTCTATTTCATCATTTTTTCCCCTCAAAATATAAGCAAGGGTATTCCTAAAGATGAACAAAATCATCCATACCCACTAAATTTGCACTTGCCGGGTCTAATAATTTTCGTTTTCCAGAAATTCGCCTGATAAATATATTTCACAATTTCTCTTTCATTCTCCACTTTAGTCTTGGCATAAAAGAATAACAAAAGCGTGGTATGTTTTGTTGCATCGTTCAGCCCATTAATATATTACAAATTTTACATTGGTCGAGCTGAAAATAAAAAGGAAAGATAAATGTTCACAAGTACACATATATGTATTTACAAATCTAGTATTACAAGATTTACAGCCACATTCCTTTCATATTCTTAGATTACATTGAAATGCAAGATATAATTGAAATAACATGGTAATGCAAAGATCCATTCTCTCTCTGCATGATTAGACAATTTATCATTTGGACGTTAGTATCATTTCCTCAACTTTATTTAACAGATATGGAAACAATTACAATTTTATAAGTCTTCCTCATAGATTTTGGTAAGGTATTTGTATTTTAAAGTTCTTGAACAGGAATGACTTGCAGAAACAATATGGTTGCTCAACTGTGCACAAATACATTCACTTTGTTCTTCACTTATGGCTATTAAGAAATCTGTTGTTACATTTCCTCTTCACTTTATGAGCCATGGCACATGAAGTTATAAGCCCAATTTATTTTTTTCTCTTAGTGGTAAGACTGCGTTAAAGTTGCAATCAAATGTTGAAATCAGAATCCTCCTTTAAATCTGTGATGGCAGAAGCCTTGCTCCCCCACTGGCTAATATTACATCTATAATTGATTACAAGTGTTCTGGTAAAGATCAGTGACTCGTTGGACCAATGGAAAGTCCATACTGTGGTACCTTATGATTACTCAATCAATACTTGTTTGGTGCTGAGCACAGACTAGCAGATAAAAAACATTCACTACAGCAAAAATAGAGATGCAAAACACTGGGACATACAGTAATGTTCGAGTCAAACAGGTCACTCGGTACATGCATAGTAAACAACTGAATTATTCAGATCCTTTTTAATTTTAAGGTATGTGAAAACTTGATACGTCCAGCTTTAAGTTTCTTGAAAATGGGACGTATTAAAGCTTACACGTAAAAGCATTCAACAAAGGTTTTAATTCAACCAGTCCAACTTTCATTTTTGACTTAGGAAAAACACAAAAACCTTATATTTGCAAGGGGTATGAATAATTAAGTTGTTGACTGTATATTGCATTTTTATACATAAAACATGTATGAATTATTGCAAACTCATTACTGCAACATAACCAGACTGATGTATTCTTGTGAATATAAACATGCAAATGTGTGGATTTATAAAACAGAAAGAAAACATTAATATGGGCCATTCCAAGGCAATATAAACTTTATTTCTTTTGGTAACCTGAAGATATTGATATTTTCCTTGTGGGTATAATCATATGCATCAACCTTAAAAGGTGTTCCATGCAAAGTTAAATTATTCTCTGCTACCACATGCATGTATAATGTGTCATTGTCCCAAGGTAAGTTTGGCTTGCACTAGACTGTAGAACTCAGACAAAAACATGGTTCAAAGAAAGCACTACCTACCAAAATGTCTGAATCTAACACTAACCTCTTACATGTATATAATCAAACCAAGATTTTCCAATTTCAATATGCAATACAACAAAGTAATGCTAGTGTTCTAAAGGTGTTTTTTTTTAAACAGTCTTGAAGACCATGTTATCAATATTTTCTGTAGAATCACGACTTCACAAAGCAGATATTGAATAAAAAGGTATTTCTTTGGAATTGTATCTTATGGGAAAGCAAATGAATTCCAGCAAAGTGTTACCATCATAGTTGATCTTCAAAAGGAAATCAAACTATTCTCAGGAATATTACAAAGGAACACGAGATAGTCATCTAGAGAAATTTGAGACCCTGCTTAAGTCACTCCCTACATCAAAATAAATGTCACAACTTCCCATTGAAATCTAAAATTGTAGACAACATACAAAAACATAAATACATATATATATATTTCTATGGAGAAAAAAAATGAATGTACAAAATTGCAAGATTAGAGAAAAATTTATAATAGTTATCTAAACTGAAAAGGAAGTAGAAGAGTTTCCTAAAAACTAATATCATTCACATAGATCAACTAATTTGTTCTTTGTCATAACATAAGACTAAGATGGAATTGTATTCATTCATGGCATTGTTAATTTCATTCCACCATTGCTAAAATGATATGACTAGATCTGTTAATATCTTAAAACGAGAGGACAGAATTATGCATGTAAGGACAAGAATATGAAATTACCCTATTATTTGATGTGGCAAAACGCCCAAAAGAACTGCAGTGTTTGGAGGGGGAGGGGGAAGGGGGGGGGGGGGGGGGGTTGGAGGGGAAATAAACGGCAACTGTGTACAAAAAAGGTCTTGTATTCACTTGAATAGCTTTGTGTTACTAGATCAAGAAACTTGAATCATATTACACTTAACATCATCATTAAGAGAAGAAGAAAAAAAACGGCATGGTTTATCGCGGTTTATCGCAGTTTATCTGAGCAAGGATTCTGACCGAGTGGCAGACAGCATTGGGGAAGGAGTAGACATGGTCTTTAACCTTGCCACAGATATGAGGAGACATTATACAGATTGTCCTCTGTGAGCCAAAAAGGCATTAACTCATATCGTTTTACATACATGAAGTCGTAACACCCTTCTGGCTCTCAGCATTCAATAAAATCAATGATATCTTGTACAAAGAGGGTTCCATCCATCAACCTTATACACAGCCAAACAGTCCTTTTCATCTACATAAACATCAACAGGAGAGGGCAGTCTACTGATAAACCCTTTTCCCTTCATCAAATTCTTCCTGGAGAAGAATATGCAACCATTGCTATCATCAGCGAATATCATTGATATTGGGCAGGTTCAACGTCTTGGACAAGCTGCATCATGAAATGAGAGAACTGGTGGGAAATGGAAATCCAAATAAGACAAGATTCAACAATAAAGTAAATCATGACTGGATCATTCCTGGACTACTTCATTTCCACACAGACTGTATTTGGAAGGCTTGAGTGATGTCATGATAAACAAAAAATGAAAAGGAAAGAATTACAGTGAAGTACACAAATATATCTTTAAAATTTAGGAATTATATACTATAGGTATCGATTCTACATCATGTACAAAATAAATAAGTATATTACAGTTACACACAGAATTGCAAAACTAGTCGAAAAAGGAAACCCTACTAAAAGAAATTCTTTCAATCCATCTTGCCATCTCAGAAGATAATATATCCAATTTGCCAATTGTTGAAAAGAAATAAATACACAGCCTTATTACAGATTAAAAATACTGTTGAATAGCTAGCTCTATTGTGGATCTAATTGTTATAGCACTTAAGGCGTTGAGGGCGTGTATACCAGTTATTAATGGCTATTATCATTATTATACATTACTGATGATTACTTATCAGGGGGTGGCTACGGATTTCTACATTCCATATCAAATTACCGGTACCTCTACTGCTACAAACTTAATTCATAATAGTTACTCCAGTAACTCAGACTTCTTTACTACTACATGAGTTGAAAAACAAGCCCGATACGTCATAATTTTACAAAAGACATGGTAATGATTTATCTCTACAATTGCACTCATTGCAGAGTTAGAGATAAAACATACATGTAATAGCAAACCATAGCTAATTTGAATAAGCAAGCAAACACAAACATAAATCTTCAAGTTATTCCAAGAGCAAAGCTGCTTTACCATGTGAATTGACAGGAAAATCACACAATGTTAATTACACAATATCATATCATCATCACTCAATAAAGTGACTTCAAATTTCTTTGTTAATGGAATAGAGTTCATATCTAGATAAAGAGTAAATTTACAAACACAAAGGGCTAACTACTAGGACTTTAGGATTGATTGTTCTAGAGATTTACTGTTCAAGATACCCGATTTTCACCAGTCATTGGCTGACAAAAAAAAATTATAGACTCGTCCCTAATCTAGTAAGACAACACACACTGTGTAAGAAATAAATTAGATCTGTTTCTTCTTTGAAATTCAATATTCACAACAGTAGTACACTCTCCCCATGTACATTTTCATACTGGCACAGATTTAAAAAACAAGTCATTCAAACTCAGAAACAAAAGAACCGAAATCATACACAAAACTCATTTGAATGAATGTGGCACATAATCCAAACAAAAAAACTGAAGTTTAACTATGTGGAACCTACTTCATTCCTCTGAAAAGAACCCCTACTGATCCTATTTTCAAGCTCCTATCTTTCAACTTTTTAACCTGTATTTTTTGTCTAATTTCTTCAATATGGCAAGAATAACAGTCACACAGATGAAGAACAATAGCATCTCACTTTCTTGAAAGACTTTTTGTCTAGAAGAATTGAAGAAAAAAATATCCAAAATACTTGGACGTGTCAAAACCCTATTATCGTATTATTGTCAATCAACTATAATTCAATATCAATATACTGTTCAGATGCTAAGAAACACTTGCCGCTAATCATAATTTTCACTTTCTTTTGAATAAGTCATGGACTTTAGGTATCACATGCCCTTGATCAACAAATTTGTTGAGTGGATGACTTACATCATAACATTAAGTACAAAGTCTTTTCATACAAAATAACCTCACAAACCTGAATATCATTTTCATCTCATGTTTCTGTACAATAATAAAGAAAATTTCTCCTCCCGAACCAAAACTGTCAGCTCAAATTCTTTTCTGGACTCTTCAATGAGGTCTTCATAAACGGATAATTGGCAGTAACCTGGAAACAAAAACCCATAATTTTTTATATCTTTTTCTATGTTTCTGTGTTTTTTTTCTGTTCCTTTTGCAAACATCTATTAATCCATTGGCAAATGCAAACAGATGTCTTATGAATTTGCCTGATACCATTCTTGCTGGGCCATTTACCAAAATATCTTGGCATTAAAAACTTCCTTTACTTTTATACTTGTTCATCAGATGGGAATGATAGTGGACCTTATCCAGAAAGGATATAAAACATGATAGAGCATGAAACTCTATTTTATTCATTCCTTTGCCTAAAAAATACAACATTTTTATTTGCAAGACTCTGATACTCTAGACTTAGACAGGTACTGACAGACATGAACAATATTACTCCAACATCTACAAGTTTCTTTTCAAAGCAGTATTGGAAAGCCTATTAATTTACATGATTTGGTTACAATCCTTCATTTTCTAACATTTCTATAGTATACATTCACAGGAACTGTCGTCACTTAAAGGCATACATCATTGATACTCTTGTAAATGGCACAAGTAAGAGCGGTGGGCAAACCCTTTGATGGCATACATTGCTATAATGTTTACACAGCTTAGGCATGGCCGGACAGTTTGGACAACATTCATGCTGATTGCTTTGCTTTGTCCATACTATTAAAATCAGAGTTCTTGGAAGTGTCAAATCGTAAAGTTTGAAGGGTGGAAAAGGTGAATGAGTGCATCATAGTGTTAAGATCTAATTTATGGAAAGCTAGGGCTATTATCTTGTGGGACTGATTGAATTACAGAGTGCAATACTGGTGCTTATACTCCTTTACAATGTCTGCATAGCCAGATTACAATGACCATGAAGAGACACCATGCATGGTCAAAACAGTACTTATTCCTTTCCTGTGCAACTGAAATAAAACAAAATGGAATTGTATGTTTGGCACCCCCACTCCAGTTCACTGCTCTAGGCTACACAGTGGTGGCATTATGAGACATATACTTGCAACACTCTTGTAACAAGCTTCTGTGCATCTGTAGTCAGATATGAAAAGACAAGGAGAGTTTTCTCTCTCTCTCTCTCTCTCTCTCTCAGAGCTTTTCATCGACAAACAGAATGCAGTGAACACCCAAAACGTTGTCCCGAATTTTGCATTACAGGAAACAGTTTGACCGAGTTACAATGCCAGCTTTACGCAAGGCTAATCAGAGCTTGATGTACCAGGAATGCTCTATGTAGTTTGCCACAGACCACAAGCCTTCTGACATGCCTTCACAGCCAATCAATGCAACGATCAACAGCCACCTCCCTGCTCTGAGGGAAACTTTTCGATGGTGAAAGGATTCAATCATGTCTTAATAGATTGAGATGTAATATGAGCATCATATATGGGCAATGCTGAATATCTTAACCTGCAGACGCACCTACACAGTCAGTCAGATGCAACAATCAACAGCCACCACACTGCTCTATGAATCCATGTCAACGATGAAAGGATACAGTCAAGCTGTTGCTGCGAGGAATGTAGCCTCTTGCGCCAAGTTAGACATCTTTTTGATAATTTAGTATATAAGGGAATTGACCTCAATGGATGCATGTAAGAAGATATAGTGTCTTTTTTTTTACTAGAAGAGTTGAGGGTTAGCTGATTATGTTGGTCTGTCTTATGAGACGTCTGAGCTTGGAGCTGTGCCTGCGACAGGTTTCCTTCCTCTTGTCATTCTGTCAAGCTCTGCGGCTGCATCGTTCCGTACCGCCTTCTCACCACCTGCCAATCATAGAGATATGAGAAATGATGGTTTAGCCACTCAAAGAAAATCATTATCAAAGTGACAATACAGTGACAATACTGCACAAAGCTATGTGCACTGAAAGAGAATATGTGACCCTGCATCATAAAACCACCAAAAAGTCATCTAAAAAGACTTTTTAGTTTGGGGTTGATTCTGACAGAGGTGATTCTTAGCTTTAATATTTATTTATAACTCATTACAATTGGATATCCCTAATTCAATTAAAAAAGTGAAGACTCTCTAGTCCCACAGAACGTTACTTTAGAGAAAAGGGTGTTTAAATTATGTAGTCAAGATTGACTACATAATTTAAACACCCTTTTCTCTAAAGGTCTTGTGCAAGGTGACAAAATGAGGATTAAAACTCTATAGAAGTTTATATGAATGGATAATCAGATTGTCCTAAAACTTGGCACACTAATTCAGCACATCATGTCCTTTATTTCTTCAAGAAGTCAATGTAATGGCTTACTCTGTTTTAAAGTTATTAGAGATTACCAATATGAGACCAGTAGCAAGGGTTGTAAATAAATAAAAACTACTACAAACTAGATGGAATTCGACTGCGCGCAGTCGAAAATGATGCCTCCGCCATAGAGCAATTTTACAAACCAAAACAGAAGACATTTTTCGAATTCAAGTTCAATTGTAATCCATTAACAGGTTCTCAGAATATCGTGATTACAAGCAATTTCTCATATACATATATGACCCTTTGATCTTTGACCTCATGACCCTAAAATCTACTCAGTTCATTGGCTCTGCAAGATGTCCTGAGTTAAATAGTAATCCATCTGTCAGTTCTAATGAGAATGTGTTCACAAGCTATTTTTGCATACATAATGAGCCCATGACCTTTGACCTTTGATCTTATGAACCAAAAATCTACTCAGTTCATTGGCTCTGCAAGTAACATACATGACCTAATTTTGGCAGGAATCCATCAATCGGTTCTTGAGAACGCGATCAGGAGCTGTTTTTGCATACATAATGTGCGTTGTGGCCTTTGACCTTTGACCTCGTGACCCCAAAATCTAATCAGTTCATCTGCTCTGCAAGTAACATACATGACCTAAGTTTAGCAGCAATCCATCAATCGGTTCTTGAGAAAACGCAATCACGAGCTGTTTTTGCATACATAATGTGCGCTGTAGCCTTTGACCTTTGACCTCGTGACCCCAAAATCTAATCACTTCATCGGTTCTGCAAGTAACATACATGACCTAAGTTTGGCAGCAATCCATTACTCGGTTCTTGAGATAACGCGATCACGAGCTGTTTTTGCATACATAATGAGCCCTGTGACCTTTGACCTTTAACCTCATGACCCCAAAATCTAATCAGTTCTTTGACTCTGCAAGATACATACATGACCAAAGTTTGGCAGGAATCCATCAATCGGTTCTTCAGATAACGCGATCACGAGCTGTTTTTGCATACATAATGAGCCCTGTGACCTTTGACCTTTGACCTCGTAACCCCAAAATCTAATCAGTTCATCGGCTCTGCAAGATACATACATGACCAAAGTTTGGCAGGAATCCATCAATCGGTTCTTCAGATAACGCGATCACGAGAACGGGACGTACGTACGTACAGACGTACGTACAGACGGACGGACGGACAACCCGAAAACATAATGCCTCCGGCTACTTCGTAACGGAGGCATAAAAACTCAAAATCTGAAAAACAGGTCTACAAAATACTGCCAAAATAACACTTAAATATTTTGTTGAGCTTCCAAATCTTTAAATTAGATTTAAAAGTATACTTTTTTAGGATATGCTGAAAACTAAAATTTGACCAAATACCCCATTATTGAGCTTTAACTGGAAACAACACTATGTGACTTTTTGTTAGTTTTGTGGTGAGCTGTCACATATTGAAGACAGGACAGCTAAATGTTTACAACAGCACAAGCTTTCAGGATGAAGGGCGGGAAGTGTGTTCAGCAGAACTGAATTTAGTGACAATAGGCAATCTTGAATAATTGGAATCGCAAATCTTAGCTTTGCCCTGAAAGGAGTGATACCCCAGTCACATCAGATACACCAGATACAGATACACCAGACCAACAATAAACAATACAACATAATTTTCCTCAATGGCCATGTTTGTGTAGTCCCTTATACATATTTCTGTGCACAGTGCATGTGACTTCTAGCAAGACTGGGCATGAACAGAACTCAACTTTATCTTTAAAGAAGTATGAGAATTATGGCAAGCTAATTTCCATGTTAGTAGGGAATTAGTCAATTCACTTCTAGAATCCAAACCGACTTGATGTATTTACCGTTACCTGTCCTCGGGCTACCTGGGGCAGGTGAGTTGACGCTCTTCTTGCTAAGTAGACTGTTGAAGAAGTTTGCTAGCACACCTTCATTGGCAGAACCTGGTTTGCCTGGATCAATCTGCTAAAACAAAATAGGACATGGGGAGTATATTAGGCTATGTGACAAATGCACAATTTGGAGTAATATACATTATATATGGTTAATACAAGAAAAGTTTAAGTGACCAGGAACAGGGCTGTTCCTGAGTGTTGGAAGACCTGTCCCTCGCGTCAAGGATGTGTGCAAGGGGGATATGAAGGCCAGTGTGATCAACCCTACAAACTGGGAAGCATATGCTTCAGACCGTCCTGAATGGAGACGCGTTGTAAAGATGGGTATACAGAGGAGTGATCAGAGGAGAGTAGAACAGTGGGAGGAGAAAAGACAACAAAGACGGCAGCTAGGTACGGCTTCAACGTCACAGCCACAAATGACATTTGTCTGCAGCAACTGCAACAGGACCTGCTTCTCTAGGATTGGACTGTAGTCACAGCAGGAGCTGCACACCAAGAAACTAACTAATACAACTAGCGCAATATTCTATTGTCTTTAGAGACAGACAGATACCAAGGAAATGAAACAATGAACATGATAAACACTGATAAGGCTATCAATTCATTCAATCACCAGGTTTTAATCTATATGGTCAATTGTGGGGCCTTACACCTTTGACTTGCCAATAAACAAAAATCGCTGAATGCAATAAACAGATTGACATATAAATCATCTCAGAAAACCTTTTGTTGACACTGAAAATCCAGAGACTTTGTGAGGAGGAAGCATGTAAAAGCAAAGGTAATGTAGATGCTGTAGTTCATGGCAAGCTAACTCATTGGCAGGTGATCAACTATCTACATAGTAATAAAGAGAGGTTTTCATCATAATACGTTAATATCATGTTCAACAAGTTTACATCAGGGTATACACAAAGCAGAACATACTGAAGTCTCTTAAATTGCTCTTTCATACTTATTATTTCTCAAAAGTGACTCAGTGCTGTTGTAAGTTAAGTTACAGTTGAACTGAAACCCAAACTTGTAGAGAAACTCACTTTTGGTTTTCCTTGTGTTGTGATTGGCGACGCAGCAGGGGCGTTGGTTGGGTTTCTCTTTTCCGGTGTTCTCATTGCTCTTGGGTCTGCGGCCCTAGGGGAGGCCTCCTGCTGAATATGAAAAAAAAAAAAATTTTGATAATAACCGTTTTCATACAACGTTTTTCAAATAAGAACTGAACAATGTGACACTATTATCCGAGTCACACTAGTATTTATATGAAATCAAATGGACTTTATGATTCTATGGTTTGTTTGCTTGAGATATTGCTACCGGCTTGCAAAATCAGCACTTCCAAGAAAACATATAACTCTATACAGCCCAATATCACAGGAAATGAGCATACTAGTAAATGTCTGATTTGTTGAAGTATTCCCCAATGAATGAACAGTGGCTTATTTCCATGTTGCAGTAACGTTCATCGGACAAATAATGACATCTAAAAATAAGAAATTTGAAGATGCTCCTGTTTCTCAAATCGAGAGTTTGTGGCTAAAAAAACTTGAGATTTCCTGCTTTAGTGAATGCTTAGTTCTCTATTACCTACATGTAACTACTCCAAACTTTGAAATTAAAGTGACATGTGTTCAATCCTATTTTACAAACATGCATCATTGGCACCTTCCACAGAGCCCTCAGATGCTATTTGACTTCTCATCAATCTATCACTCTATCATCACACCCACCTAAACAGTGATCAAGGCCACACGAATGTCATGACTATTCAGCCTTTATTTTCCTATCAATCAATCCCCCATCGCAGGGAAAAAGTTAATATTTATTTTTCAGGGGCTACTTTTCAAGCTTGCCTGCATGAAAATAACATTCTAAAATTTGTTTTTCATTGAACTCTATGCAAGTTTAAGGGGCTCTTTTCTGATTTTCGGGGGCTCTTTTGGGCATTTCGGGGGCTATTTGGCCCAGAGCCCCCGTGTATTTTGCTGCGTATCTACTCACCCCTGGTTTGCCTTGTGCTGCATTCCTGATGGTTGCCTGTTGCTTCATGAGGAATACCTGCTCATCTTCAGCTATGATCTCCTTGTTATCTTGGAGTAACTACGATAACATAGATAAAAATGCAGTGTTAACATCAGTCAAACTTTCAGATATATCATCACCACATATAAGATACATTTCAGGATAGTGTGCAGTACATAACAAGGTGCCATATTCATCATTCACTGGGAAGCTCTTCTCAAACATGGACAAAATTGCATACCTTAGGCAGGGCTCAGCACCTACTCACAATCACAGGGCAACAATATGGACTGTTTGGCAAACATAAGAAGACATTGACGGACTTTGTTTCCTTGCCCATGTTTAAGTGGGGCAACCAATATTGTTGCTAATACACTCAGCACAAAAAGAAAGTGGACAGTAATTACAATTAAAATTTTGAAATTAATATCTAATATAAAGTTATCTATGCATTATTTTTTTTTTTTTTTTTTTCCTTCTTTTTTCTTCCCCCTTCTCATTTCTCTATGTATCTCATTCTAATTCTATCCCTCTGCGCCTCAGAATAGTTTACTAGATCGATGGCACATAATAAATGCTGTATTATTATTATTATTATTATTATCTTTCCAATCTCAAAATTAACATAAATTAATCCCCTTCCGGACGATGTGAACTCGGAATACGCACAAGTATAAGATTTTTAAATTTGAGGCCTTTCACTCAGTCACGTCATGGTCGACTTACGTGAGGTTGACTGTACCTCTAATTGAGATACTGTACATTTTTGGTTGGAAGAATACAACTGACAAAATGATATATCAGTGATGCCAATTTGGGAGAGGAAATGGTGATTTATTCTTGTCCTTGAGACGATAATCTACATACCCTCCGGACGACTGGCTTGATGATGACTTCATCGTAGGGTTTCTCTGGATCTATGTTGGCCATGTTCTCGTATAATATACTGACCTTCTGTAGATTATCCCACCCTGAAGGCCTGCGGTATACAGTTATAAAGAATGAAAAGAATATCAAGTATTTTACAGTACATGTACGTTCAGTGATTCATACATTAAATTTAATCACAGCAGTTTCTCGAAACTGTACTTTTTTTTCTTCAATTTGACATGACCGAGAATGAAAAAAAAACATCACAAAAGTTTCAAGAAAGCCGTGTATATTCAAAGGACCATTGCGATAAAGGATGAAATATGACTGACCCATGTCAATAACTGTGTCTATTTGGTGCTTCACGGCAAGGTAGAGTAGGAATGTTAATATGTTCAATATGTTACCATGTGGAATCAGCTTCGTCTACTGCAATGGGACCTACAATGCATGTACCAATAATACATGGTTATTGCATGGCTGTACACAGGCGCGTACACAGGCGCGTACATGTACGCAGGATTTTTTCAAGGGGGGGGGGGGGAGTGTACGCGCCTGGCTGTACATGGCTTTTCATGGTATTAAGTGGCAGTACGTAGCTGTTGATTGGAGATTACATGGCTTTACATGGAGTGTACAGCCAACTTTTATAACAGGTCCCAATTTGTCAAGTGTATGACTGTATTGTGGTCAGGGGCAGCAATATGCCCCCCCCCCCCCCCCTGTGGTGTTTAAAGCATTTTGGGGGCACTACATGGCACTAATAGCCACTAATGGGTGTATCTTTTATATACTTACACAAACAGGGCATCTTTCTCTACTACCAGTGCTGCTGAGTTGAACGGGAAGTCATATAACCTATGCAGAAGATACCTGTTCAACAGATCACAGTTCTTGTTCTCTTTCACAGATACATAAAATAAAGCTGCACCATCTGAATGAATATTAGGGTTCAGGAATTTGTATATTTATCAATTGATTTGTTTTTTAAATACAAAGAGAGTTAATCTAAAAGTGTAGAGAATAGTACAGGAGGTGGAGAAATGAGGGCCACAAAACAGATAAATTACATTAGAACACTGTCCCAAGTACATGTTAAGCTTAATTTATAAAAAAACAGGCAAATTTTGTTTATAACTTATAACAACATGTAATTAGAAGAAACAGAACAAACATATTTACATACTTCTATGATAAACAAGGGCTCTACACTTTAATTTTTCACAGGGATGGGACTGAATGCAGATAAAACTGTATGAATAGAGCCATTTATAACTTTTTACATTTTGAGAGATCTAAAGTTGAGATCTGATGGCCCTCGTTAGTGTCAAGCCCTGACTAAATATGTCACCATTATAAAATTACTACCGGGTATACTCTTTGTGACAGAATATACCCTTCATATCGTTACACCAATGACGCCAACAAAAAAGAGTGAAAAAAAAAGGATACAATTTAGACAGAACTTCCGGACGTTCTGTTGTAAGAAATCTAAATGTTCATCGCTGTAGTCTTGTTCCTTTTCCAATGTGTTCACATAGTCCGACTGCACATGAAACAAAGGATAAAAAAAGAATGACCCTTTATTCGCCATCTCTAATACAGTTTCAATGTAATTCCAGCAAAACTACAAAGAGTTGAAGTTAAAATAGAGATTAAATTAGGGGGAGGTCCTACATGCTGCACTAACCATTATTATTAGAAAGCAGGGTTAACAGAACAAAAGTACATAAAGCTAGAAATTTGAATATTTTCATTGATGATATTCTCAAAGTACTGTAATCTAAGATTCTTCAACTCACAATGCCCTTTTTTGTTAAATCTCATGCAGCATTACTAAACAATTTATTAATACATCCAAATCCATGAGAGCTACACATATATTTATATAATCTAAATGTATACATTTTTTTCATTTTTTTTTATCATTGACACCCAATTTTGAAATCCAAGCTTAAAGCCTAATGGTTCAAGACCTAAAGGCCGTCTGTACTAGTTTGGCCAGGGGGGATTAGACCCCTACAAGGTCACTTGACAGGTGTTTATCTCATTAAATCAGCTCTCAATTAACATAAGAAAAAGAAGATCATGGGGGACCAACAGGCACCGATTAGGCATTGTGTGCTATATAGAGGGCGCAAGTAGCTATAAGTAGTGCAGTGGGGCTTTAATGAACACAATGAGAGTTCAGCTTACCTTGGTCACAACGACAACGATTGGAACACCTAGATTGTGTGTGAGAGTGGTTTCACCTAGAGGAAGCACTACTGCCTCTTCATCCTCGGCCCCTGTGGGCTTGGTGACACCGGACGTTCTCCTCGTGACGGACGAGTCTTGCCCTGTCTCAGGCTCTGTGTATGCTTGGAATTGTTGTACCACTAGAGGGAAGATAGAGATATGCAACTTTGAGTTACAGAGGCATCATATAATGAATTAAGGTTTTATACTTTGGCTGTGAAGAAATACCTCAAAAGAGTGTGTAAAGGTAGTTCTTTCTCCTGTTTTGAGCTCTGTGTACATGTATGCTTGGAATTGAAGCACCTCCGCAAACTTACTGACTGGTGTGTACATGTATGTTCAACTGGACATGTGAAGAATGCTGGTATATCAACTTTATAGCAAAAGGGGAATAACAGAATGGTCAGGTCCCATTTTTGCTCTGTGTAATGTTAACTTGAAATGTTACCACCGCATGGAATAAGCAAAGATGTAAGTAACAAGAAATATCAGAGAAATGCCATCACTGTCTCTTCATACAATATTTTTACCACTACATAAAGAACGGTTAATTCATACAACTTGCCACATAGAAATCAAGAACATTCCTTCAAGAGTCTACTGGTATTTTAATTTCAAATCTTTCTTATACTTTTATGACTTGGTTAATCCTGTTGCCAAATGACTGCTTTCCCATTTACTCATTACCACTGGCAATGATATAAACTCCCCATAGTCCTGAAATGCGCTATAGCAGGCAAGCTAAATTTCTGGTTAATATTAAATACTGATTTAATATAGGCATTGGTAGGTAACATTAGCAGATCGTATCAAAAGCTAAATTCTGACTCTAATCGCAAATCACATTTGACAGCTGTGTATCTACATGTATTACCGGTACATGTCAAATACAAATTCTGGTTTGAACATACAGTATATACAGTATGTATTTTGCAGAATAATTATCCCTCCCAGACAAAGAATATACAGATATCGTGTCTTCTCTATTAATGATATGCATGAAAGTAATTTGATGCTTTAAAGGACTAGCTTCCATCTCTCCCGCCATGTCTGCGCAACCAATGGTTTATCTCATTTCACTTTGGGAAGGCATGGTGGTCTAAATGAACAAACCTCTAGCTTGTACAGTAAGAGTAACCAGCTTTGGATGTGCACAGGTGGGTAAAAGCATAGTGGCTGTGCACGTCAAGCAAGAGATATATTTAGACATCACCATGCAGTCTGCCACATAATGACAATGACATACAGGAGTAGTTTAGTCATCATTATGTGACTCGGATCCAAGCCAGCGACCGACCATGCAATCAAGTCACATTCTATTGAGATGCTATTGACTTTAACTGGGGGTGGGGAGGGAACAGATCAAACAAGAAAAATACCATAGACGTAATTAGCAAGATCAACAAGACGAGGTTAAATTCAGTATAAAAATATAATATCTCCATTTTCTAACGTATGAAAAGTGCTACATGTAACTCCCTTACTTGTACTGATTTCTCATGTTTTGCAGAGGAATACATAATTTCACAATGCATATTGTGCTCATTAATTTCTGCTATCCATTAACATTTACATGTACCAGTATATAAAGACAAAATTGGAGGGTACAAACAGAAAGATAAAAAAAAACTTTCCCCTATAGAATTTCCATTAAAAATCTAGATTTTCTAATTGTGGGAACTGGGGAAAAGTGGGCCATGCACAAATTTGTATGTATGCAGAAACTTCATATTTTCCTCTACAGTATGTATGTGCATTAATAGTCTACACTATCATGCAAAAAAAAAGTAGCATGTGGCACAGGAACCTCTGCTTGATTTAATCAATTAATTCAATTATGAAGCCATATCTTGGTTACCAATAAGTCTCTACTAAAACAGACTCTTAATCTGACAGATTACATACTTTAAGCCAAGGATGAGAGTGATGGGCTCATTAGTTTGGACAATACTACAAATTCACTAGTAATTAAACATTTAGCTTTCATTTGTAAGATAGAAGGATAGTGCTACCAGTTACATGACAACAAAGGCACTTGTAGTAGAAATATTGAAAACATGAACAAATACTGTGACATTTCAACCACACTAAGTTCAGAGTCGGGCCATACCTGAATAGAGTTTGTAAATGTGAAAGTACATGTAGTTTAATACCATAGATCAATGCCAGGTTGGCCAGGGTCAGTAGCACTGAGACCTCAAATTTGTACATACATGTAGAACGTCTTTAGAAGAACTATGGAACAGAGTGTAGATTTGTCGTCATTTAGTCTGCATTCAATCAAGACTATGTTACAAGTGTGAAAGTAGTTAAATGCATACACTGACACCTTTGATAACCTCTGATAGACATGCTTAAGCATGTAGGCCTACAGGTATAAGAACCATGAAATTAAGTCAAGATTTGTCTGCATTGAGTTCACAGTGAATCAAGACTAAGTCACAAGTGTGAAAGTGGTTTGCTCTCATCCAATGCCAGATTGGTCAGGGTCAAATGCACTGAGACTTCTGATAAACAAACCATCTGTTCAGGTTTCACCTACTGAATTCAATTGTAAAAATGGACGGGAACTCAATAGTAAATAGTCTGCTCTGCTAGATAACCAATTCAATTTATTTCATTTCCCCTCTCCATTTTTGTTTTTTCCTCTCTTACAGTGTAAATATTATAGAGTCCAACATCTACCTGTAGCAAAAAATATATAATTTCCCCCAATATTTCAAGATGTACATGTACAGTGTATGTCCACATACACTGTTACAATACAGTGGATTCACAATCCACAGTGCCATAGGTTGGCACCAGAGTTAAAGATAAAGACCAGTTATGGTCATGCGATTGCATTTTGAAAGAAACGTGAAATCAATCAAAAAAGGTTGATCATCTAGCATAGATGTACTGCAAGGTTCTGGAATCATCACAATGATAAGAAATTTGGCCCAGTCTTCATAAAGTTACAAGCACTGTACACAGAAAAATGTATATGGGACTACGCACACGTGCATGACACGTGCGTTTTTATCTCTCACAGGCCAATAGATAAACTAATTTACGAAATATATATCGATTAGTAGGCGGTTTCCCAGCAAATTTTTTATCATCATGTATTATTCAAAACATATTCTTTCACATGATTGGTAATAAGAGCTTCCATATCATTTTTTGAAATTGGGGCGTTTCCAATACTAGTCTTTACCTGTAAGTGGATTTTATGTGATGCATAATGGGGGAAAAAATCTACAAAATATCAGCTGGGGCACTGATGTATACCCTAGGAGATACAATGTAAGGTGATTTAATCAATTTCTGTTGTGGAAGGTCTGAATATCTTATCCCGGGTAAAATGTTGCGATAATTCCATATTGACCTTAGTATCGATATTTTGGTCATTTTTGCCGCTATTGGCCAAAATTGACCATTATCATTGTACCTTGTAGTCACTTTTGGTCAGGGGTAATTTTTCCAATCGTTATTATCAGCGAAGGAGCTTTGATGGGCCTAATGTAGAAATGTGCCCTGATGCTAGGAAAAAATGGTCAAATGGACCTCCCATCAACAACAATCTGGTCACTTCAGTCACTTTTTGGCAAAAATTATGGATGCTTGTCTAAAATCAGGCCAAATTTTCAGTCAAAATCATTTGATGGGTGGGTTTGGAACTTTGGACATCAAAATTCAATGTGCAAATGTGCTCTAATAGCAAATCAATCTCATTAAAATGATCACACTGTAAGAACTACTTTGGTGACTTTTGGTCATTTCGATAGGTCGCTAGCGTACTGCTTCGCCTCACTGGTTTAAAGATATCAACCTGCGAGCTGAAAAATTTGCCTATCGTGGCTTGCTAGTGGGGGCGCTGTTGACTATGAATCCACCATATACTTATAGTACTTTGGAATGTTCACAATTTTGTTCTCATTGAATTCCTATTAGTCTAAATATAAAGACTAGGGATATAATACAAATGAAATATGATTCCACTATCAGAGCCACAGTCAATACAGGCCTTGACAAGTGAAACTGAAGTCAATATCATTTTCAGTATACATGTTCTAATCACTATAATTGCATATATGACAATTTCCTGATTTAGGCTTTCAACATGGATCAACTTGATTTCTTTTTAACCTCTTTTTTAATTTGGTTTATTTATATTTTTGCTTCTTCTTTTTTAGGGGCATGTATATGTATTTTACAAGTTTCAGGTTAAGTGATAAATTTTTTTTTTTTAATTATTACTCCAAAAAATTGGGAGAAAAAAATAAAATCCTTTTTCTAAAAACATAAATTTACCGGCAGCATTTCAAATCAGATACTTTGCAGCTGAATTTATTACCAACATACATTTGTCACTTTAATACATGGACCTTCAGCTTTAGCTTAAGCTTAACTCAAACACACAACAAATTTTTCAGCAGAAAAAACACTGTTAAATTTGCTTTCTAGATTAGTAAATAAGTGCAACCTAACATATAAATATTACATTTACAGTATTTATATTTCAATCAAAATTCAGAAGCTCACTGTTGTCAAAGTTATTAAGGAGCACAAATGAACATTACGGTACCCATTTCCAGATATGTGTAAATACATCTGTGTGTAATTTGAGCTGGAAACTGTGCACTCGTGGAAACACACTTTATTCCACATTTGATGACTCATAAGAATTGTTATTTGATGAACACACACAAAATCCCCAGCACCTTGGGTGTGTACACAATGTGATACACTGACTATAGAGGGTACATGTATGCACACTTTTACAGCTGGATGTGTATAATTATGTCTGCCCCACTGCCTTTCAATAAAGGATTCAGTTACAGCTTCTGAATATGATACAGTAACACATGGTGTGTATGAAACTCTCGTACAGTTGTATGTAGAGAAATTACATGTACTCCATTTATGAAAAACAAACATTGAACAATGGTTATTCAAATAGATAAATTTGGTGTTCAAATTAGGGCCCTCATCACTTCTCAAAGATGCCCACTTCCTTACATGTATAAAACATATTTTTTCTTGGGGGAGCTGGGGCAGAGAGGGGGGGGGGGCATAAATGAGTGTAGTAATCTCAAAGGGCAATCCAACCTTTAAAGAGAAGGTTGAGTTCTGGGAAGAGGTGAAAAATAATTTGTGAGCGTTATCATTCTTATTATGCAAGTGTGGAAGAACATCAGATAAGACATGTTCCCTGAAAAGCATGGCTCTTCAAATGCCTTTATATTCTATATATGTCACGTAACTCGTAAAACTCGGGGGGGGGGGGGGGTAGGTTTTTTACGCCACGTGTTCGTGTAGTCCCATATACATCTTTCTGTGTACAGTGTTTGTAACTTTACCAAGACTTGGCCAAATTTCTTATCATTTTGATGATTCCAGAACCTTGCAATACACACAAATTCTTATATGCTAGATGATCAACCTTTTCTGGTCGATTTCGCACTGTTTCTTTCACAATGCAATCGCATGACCAGAACTCAACTTCATCTTTAAAACAATTCATTTCAATGAAAACAGAAAAAACATGAGAAACAGAATGGCAATTTTTTTGGATCAAATTAGACCAATAATAAGAAAATTATGAGAGTTTGAAATATGAGATCACTACAGCTTTGCAAATCTGGAATCTACAATATGGTCAGTGGTTTGTTACATACAGTAGTGGCTGATGATTCTCTTCATTGTCATGTATAAAAAATACTGTAAATTTTTGTTTTTCTCTGTTAGGATAGGGTATTTCTACTAATATCATTTTATCATATAATGTTGTCATCAATAAATTAAAATAATAAGAATAAAATTGGAAGATAAATACAGTAATATTTGGCCTGCATGTACATATTCAAACACCTAAAAGTATCACCTATGGAAATAACAAGAAACTGCATATTCCAGAAATGAGCTAAAAGTAATTAAATCTCTCTTGAGGAATTTAGCACAAATCAATCCCATAGCTTAGAAAGCATTATACATTTGTCACTTCTGATCAAACACATACTTTCACCGACAAATTGAGAGATATTTGTTTACCCTACATGTACATGTACATGTACGTTCATGAGTATTTGCTTTCATTGCAAATCAAGCCCTATACTACTATCTGATATTCATACAATGAATAACCCAATATTATCATACGTTCATGAATACAATGATGTACACATCTTTGTTTAATGTTCACTCTGGACATTATCATGTACAGAGCTGCCAACCTTGTGCGACCAAAAAAAGGAATCATGATGGCAAAAAAAAGGAATTTCAAGCAAAAAAAAGGAATTCATAAAAACGTAACTTACAACCACGCACGATACACTTTCAATGCAGAAATGTTCATTCCTCATGCTGTTTTTTCCATACAAGCAGGGTTTTTTTTGTTTGGGTTACTTTGGTATTATCAGCATTTTATTCTTTTTGAGAATATTTTTCTCTTCAAGTATGTTTTAAAATTAGTTTTCTATTGAATTTGTGATGAAATCACCATTTTAGGGCAGTTGTTTGATGTGTGGTTTGTAGTAAAAAAAAAAAAAAAAAAAAAAAATAAATAATAATAATTAAAAAACATATTTTATGAAGAAAAAACGTAATACTGTAATTTGGAGAAAAAACTGAATGGTTGGCAGCTCTGCATGTACGTTATCAAATCAAAAGTAAAATTAGTTTATACAAATCATTACTTTCTTTCTATGACCTCTATCATTGTTGATTATAATTTGTTTGGGTGGATTTTTTGTCAATCCTGATTACCTTTTTAGTTTACACCGGTATGCACTCTGTCATTGTAAAATCATTGCAATTCGGCTTTGCCGCGATGACGTTTGTTTTTCTTCAATTAACCATTTATCTATAGATCTATCTTTCTAGTATTCTTCTTCTGATAGATTGAAGAGTCTGCAGGCATGTACATGTACATGAACAGTTCAAAATCCTTGACATGTCATTTTTTTCTTCTTAAGTATCTCTTTAAAAGCAGCTACAGTACATGATTCCTTATAAATAATTTATTTCAGGATTTTTAGCACTTCATTTTTCAGACAGTTTTTTAACAGATTATATTAATCAGAAATTGTATGTGTCAGGAAATGTGTTTGGGTCCTTTGGGATTCATACATGCACCGACTAGTTCACATATTGTGTCCTCTTTTAAGTAGTTCATTAAATATTAAACAAATATTAAATTTTTATAAACACCAAACCATTGACTAATTATTTATTCTATGAGGTAAAAAAAAACTTCTTTTTTTTCTTGTTAAATTCCATCTGAACTACAGTTTAAAAAAAAATAAAAAAATAAAATAGTGATGAAAATGAAAAATCAATTGTCAAAAATCAATAATAAATAATTCTATTTGGGATTATTTTGTTGTCGTCATATTACAAATGTATTGGTTATTCATTATAGATTTTGAAGGGAAAGAAAGGAAGATGTTTTGAATAACATGCTATAAACCTTTACTCCTAGTTCCATGCTACTTTATTACTCTGCTATACACAGTATATTAAAAATGTCCTCCATATTCATTACTGGTATTCATATATTTTGTCATGACCTTCAAAGTATATTACAAAATAAATACTGCTTTTATAATTTATGGATGACAATATACAGTTAGGACCAGTACAAATACAATGTCAGTACTCATCAAGCATACATTCAAATATATATATACATGTACCAGACTCATGAATAAATAAGAATTATAAAGTGTGGATTAATATCAAATCATCATCACAACATCAACTCATTCTCTTTTAATGTCATATTCAGTGTTTTCCAGTTTAATAGCATTAAACCTAACAATGTTTAATAACATTAAACCTAAAAATGTGCAATTACGTCAAGTGGGCATGATACAGTGTCCTTTTCAAATTATCTTGACAAGACAGTTGGCCATTGGCCATCGCACACAATACCATCCTACTAAATTACAGCCAAAATATCAAGAAACTTGCATTTATAGCAATTACCAATTAAAAGAATAATTCATAGGTATCTTGAATAGTAATGCTCAAATGGTCACAGAAATACTGAAAGAAAAATGGACTGTGCTGTGTGCATAACAAAGTAAGTTATAACTTTAACAATTTGTAAAATGGTCAAGTGATTAGAATCTCTAACCCCTTTCCTTCTTCAGTGGAGTAAGAGTTAAAGTAATTTAAGTTATAATTGATAGAGCTTGGGATTCTTTGTTGTACAGCCTTTTTGTAAATCACAAACAGCAGTCATGAAGGGCAAATTCCACCGTGACGGAATCACAACAACAAAAACAGGACGTAATATCATCTAATGTAATTACAAGAAAGGTTAAATCATTTACCTCCATAAACAAACAAGGATCATAACTCATCAAGGCCAAAATTAATGAACATAAAATTCCTACATGGAGACACTTTTACCAAGAGGATACACAAATGCATTCAAACCTTTATGATGAGTGAATTAGTCTTTCTAGTTATCTGGCAATCTCTTTGTAACTCTGATACGATGGTGATGACCATACAAGGACGATTCGAAATGAACCTGACAAATTATTTGTGATACTTACATCTTTGTTCCAGCTCTCGTAACTTCTCTGGTGGGATTCTGAGTGAGTCAACATGCCTCCTGATTACTTGCGTCCACTTCTGTAGTGAGTCCATGATATTCCATGGCCTACACATGTCTACTGCAATAATAACGAGCATATGCTCTAGGTTGTCTGCTGTTAGGGCATATCGTAGTAAGTCTTCGTGTTCGTTCTCCCCTGCTAATATCCATACACCACACCGAGTTGTGTCTGTGAATGAATGAGAAACGTGAATGTACATGTAAGAGAAGGGACAATAATTGCTGGATGGTCTCAAGCTAGACAACTTCAAGCATGAGCCTCAGAAGAAATGGTCCATTTCTAATCCAATCATCCAAGAAAAAGAATAGTCTTTTTCAAATATATCAAAATATTAATAGCTGCATTATTCTTGGCTGCTTGTAACATACCAGTAGATCAATTTTGGACAAAGTCTGAGGACCGTTCAAAATTGTTATAACAATAATAACTTCAATCAATTCTCGCTATCACCAAATATAAAGAATACCTGTGTGTTACATTCAGGCCCCATTTCAAATGCACTCTTGGATAATTCGGAGACAAATTTGCTTTCGGTCTATTTCGCGCGGCTGCGCTCTGCATGCCTGCATCGATTGTGTGTGTGCAGTTTTTTTTCTGACAGTAATCACAGCAATTAATCATGATTTTCAAGCGATTTCAAGATTGAATCATTACAAAAAACATGTGAAAATATTGTTAATCATGCTAAAAATATGATATTTGGATATGTGATGGGCAAGAGCAAGTAGGAGCATAGAAGAAATAATAATAACATAAACTTTATTCGGTTTTGTTTGTTGACAAGTGCGAACCCCGTCTAAAATACTAATGGACTGGACTACAATAACTTCCGCCTGTTTTTCATTAATGCTGTCACAAAAATTGAGGAAACTAGAAATTAAAGAATGAAAAAAGAAATGAATGAACAAGTCTAGTCATATGAAAACAAATGAATAAACAATTTTCTAAGAATAATGAAAGTAATGAGTAAATGGATGTGTGGATGGATGGAAGGATGGATGGATCGATGAATGAATCTAAAAGCTCACCATCTCTGTCTTCATCCCTGACATCAAGGTAAAGATACTCTAATCCATAGCCTTTCTTAGGGTCCTCAACTCCTTGTAATCTGGATAACAAGGTTGTCTTTCCCGTCTCATCTTCACCTGTTCATTAGAAGGATAACACAAGAAAATTATGTGACACATTCACAAACATACGCCCAAGGTTTTTCCAACAGCATGAAACTGTCTTCATGTAATAGAATTCTACTAGACTACTCAAATTACAAAAAGACAAACAACATACATACAAACAAACAGCAACAACAACACCAACAACATCACCTGCATTCAAGAATAGCAGTTTGTATGATATCAGCAATTCACTGGGTGTGCCATCCAAATGTTTAAAAAGTGTATTTCAGTCCAACAAATTACATAAAGCAAGAAAGTGAAGAAACAAGAGAGTGACTGAAGAATTATGTGCAATATTAATGCTGTACTCAGTTGAAAAAAACAAACTTCACTCATTTCCCAGATCTCGTATTAAATATTCATATTACAGTATTTGCCGGCGTAAAGGCCGCAGTATTTTTGGAAGAAAAAATATTTAAAAGTCTGGGTGCGGCCTTTGCGCAACAACTAAAAATTCAGCAGTCAAAACAGCATGTCCATTTGTACATATGGGACTACAATGACTATACAATGGTACAGGACATTTCTAGAATAACTCCACACATCTTACCGACAATTTTATGTTGCATTGTTGTTATGAAGACGAAAATAAACTGCAAAACTTATTATTCTAACAAAATCCGCCGGTAGATCTAGATCCAAGTCCGTACCATTGCATCGCCAAAAAGTAAAAGAAGGGACCGGTCCGTTACGGAGCTGCCGCGTTACATCTACAGTACATGTAACCATGAGACAATGCTCAATAAAATGTATACTAAAGCTCTGGGTCTCGGACTATTTCTTTTCATATGAACTTCAATCCTTAGGCCGATGAAAGTTGATCTCATGGTTCTCGTCAGGCTTTGTTGAGATTTTGATGAGGGATTTAGATCAACTTTCATCTTTCATCTGACTTTGATTTCATGTTCTCGCGGGCATATTTGGAATTTGAATGAGGGATTTTGATCCAAATTCATCTTTCATATACAAACCAATAGAACTTGTCGAGGGTATCGAGTCTTGTACATTATACATGTAAATCTCTTACACCAATATCATACTCCAATGACTATTTCTTCCAAATTTTCTGTGATATTTGGGTTTCTGTGACACCATCTTCAAAAAACCTTTCAAATGTCAAGGTTTCATCAAAACTATCTACACAAACTATCTTCCACTTGACAAGCAGTCTGCTGCCTTGAGTCACACAAAGTGAAAGAATCATTTTGACTGACAGTGCGGCCAAAAGCGATCGATAAATAGTACAGATGAATTGCTGTCCTGAGCTAGTATATTGGGCAACGTACACAATGCACTGAACAGTTTCATACGCGTTAGCTCCCACCCGGTACGGTAGCGGGAAGCCGGAGTACGGCGTGAGGCAAAACAATCGCCCCGTGTCTAGCCGCAGACTATTCCTGGCCTACGCGATAGGCAGCTAAAGTAGCGGATTATGCCGCCCGCTACTTTAGACCAATCAGCGATCGACTTCGCAGACATCGCCATGGACGCGTGTCACATGGGCCACGCGCGGCAGCCAATCAAAAATATTGTTGATTTTTTGAGGCAGCAATTTCATATCTGGACTTTTTGGTGCGCGAGCAAAATTTTATGCGGGCGCTGACGAGAACCATGAGATCAACTTTCATCGGCCTTACGTATGAAAAGCTGAAGTTTCAGAATAGAAAATTTACTCTTTCTACTTACAAAAAAATACAAGCACAGCCAATTTATTTATTTTCATTTATTTTTGCAACAACAATAATGGTGGGTTAATTGCGGGTGGGCCTGTGTGAAGTTATCTACTGTAATGAGGATTTGAGACATTACGGTAGATAACTTCACACAGGCAAGCGCCCGCCCGCAACCCACCATCGGTATGCACTTGTAAGTTGTATTGCGCAGCGGTTTGCCGTGAAACCTGTGAAAAAGTGTATAGGGGTCTAGGTCTACTAATCAGCGTTAAGCTGAAAAATACTCCAAAAATAACAAGAAAATTGACACAAAACAGGTAATAAACATAACAAATTTTAACTCATGATCTTTATTTGGACATTTAATGAATCTTTACCTCATTTTGGGTATGTTTTAGTAGGGTATCTCCACGCTGGAGTTACGGGTCAAATTTTGGATAGGTTTCTGAACAAGCGCCGAAGAATCAGTGGTTTCCTATTTTAATAGATTCTAAATCTTTTTATGCAAAATGCCCAAGATCTGACACTCACAGAGGATTGTTTTTGTTACAATAATTAATTACAGATATTATACAATCTTGCCCTTATATCACAGGCATTAGTATGTTAGGACATTCATTCAGTCATTGACTCTGTGTGCTGAAGCTGCAGCTGTCTGGGCAAGAAGAAAAATAACACTCACCCAACACCAATATGGATTTGCATGACGGCAACTTCGAGCTCGAATGCGAAGAAACTTCGCTCAATATGGACGTCCTGAAAGAACAAAAAGGAAAATAATTGCAACACTGAGCTTCGTCCACGTCTTCTAAATCTCGACAGAGAACTGAACTTACCATAAATTTTGAGGTTCGTCGTCGTCATTCTCCTTTTCCGCTGACGATGCCTTCGCAGACTTCTCTCCAATCGGCGCCATGTTGGAAGAGTGTAGACGCATGCCCAATGAGGATCTAATCTACGGTGATAGTGACGTCATATGACCAAGCCTATATCTAGCTCCCGCGAGCTGTCTTCGTTTAATATGCTTTTTGATTGAAAGTTTGAAACACTCTTTTCAACTACATTCTAAGTTTTATATAACAGATTTCAGCTTATTTTCTAGGTAGGTTGAAATGAAATTAGAGGAAGACAATAAATCGGCTCAACATATATGCCGACCCTGGGATGCCACTATTGTGTATGAACATTGCCATTCTCAGTGGCGGATCCAGGGGGGGGGGGGGGGGCCCGGGGGGCCCGGGCCCCCCCCCCCCTTGAGAAAAAAATCATGTAAAATGACGTGATTTTTACCTTTTTTGGGGGTTGGGCCCCTGTACCCCCCCCCCCCCCCCCCCCCACTGAGCGACTTTTCGGCCGGCGCGATTTTCAAATTTTCAGGAGCAAAAAAAAAAAAGTTGGGCCCCCTCCCCTAAGAAATCCTGGATCCGCGCCTGGCCATTCTTTATGACTCAAAATATAGTATTATTTTCAAGAGATAATACAGAAGAGGATTGATGTAGTATTATGCAGTTTTATAGTGAAGACGAACCCCGAGACGTACATACCCCGATTACCCTAGCTCCCGGATCTCTGTTGGAAATGATAGGTAATACAGATATATTTTCTCTCTCATAAACACAAGTGATTCTTCATTCGGAGTAGGTCCATGATTCTTCCCACCAACAGGTCATTTCTCATTACGTTATTTCAATAATGATTATAATAATAATGATGAAAATAATGGTAAGAAACTGAGAAGAAACGGAGATGATGATCATATGATAATGATAATGGTAATAATAACGATAACAATAATGATAATAATAGTAATAATCAATTTAAAATCATTAAATAAATAAGGCGCCGAATGCGATTTGAAATCAAGTGCTCAAAAAAAACAAAAAGAGATCACATAAAAGCATCTGCATTATAAGCAAAGGAACAGAAAATTGAATATAGAACATACTAAAACTACAGAACAATAAATGATATGCCAAATTAAACAAATACGTTTTAAGATTATTTTTATTTTCATGCGTATATCAAGTAAATCTCAATGTAGTATTATTATTAATGGGCTTAAAAACAGAATCTAAATTTCATCCCTTCATGATCATGGATTGTTTGCTTCAAAAAAATTGTTCTTCCTTTCAATAAAAATAGGAGCTTTGTAATAGGCCTCTTGGTCCAGGAATTTCATTTAATCTTGAAGCGAATTTGTGGCCATTGTGATTTACAAACTGCAATTTTCATTTATTGACTGCCTCTCTGTTCTATCTAACAAGATTTAGTCGAGCGAGAAACCCGTCATCATTAATTGCCATTTTCATCCCATCTATGTCAGACAAGGCCCTTCACTCTCTCTCTCTCTCTCTCTCTCTCTCTCTCTCTTCCTTTCTTCATTTCTAAGCTCTTTATTTCTTCTCTCTCTCTGTTTTTCTCTGTATCTCTGTCTCTCTCTCTCTCTCTCCCCCTTTCTTCATTTCTAGGCTCTTTATTTCTTCTCTCTCTTTCCGGCCAGTGTCTCAAATATAGTCTTATTTTCAAGAGATAATACAGCAGATTGATGGAGTAATAATGAAGTTTTATATAGTGCAGACATACTAGCCCAGCCGCCTATAATACTGCGTTATTCATTTAAATGTATCTTCTGTCTGTCGATCTACACTGTCGCTCATAATAGGTAGAATATTTTTGTTTTACCCCAATTTATGGAATTATTTTAAAAATAATTTAAAAATAATAGATCTAGATAAAAGTATACATTCTCAGATTTTATTGAATAATAATTTGACAATGTGTGTTTTGCGTGACTGCTAAAGCATGTGTATGCTACTATGCTTATCAAATAGAGGACCAACGCCCTTAAGTCATAAATGACAGTAGTGAGGATTACTGCCCCCAGAAAAGGGCACTAATATAGCACATCGACACGGTTTTGATCCTGGGACCTCACAGTTACGAGGCCATTGCTTTTTCACTGAACCATGACTGTACGCAGCGGGGGCTATAGGGTAGGGGGCAGTTTCCATAAATAAAAAAAAGAAAAGAAAATGCAATAAATTTTTAATAATTTATTGCATTTTACCCCGGTTCCCAACATAAAAAATCCTCTGTGTGCCCATGCCTTGAGCCATATTGCATGGCCATCCAGAGGATTTTTTTATGTTGGGGACCGGGGTAAAATGCAATAAAATATTGAAAATTTATTGCATTTTCTGTTTTTTTTTAAATTTATTGAAACTGTATATATTTGTTTAAAATGTAAAGTTAACGTTACCATCTTCTTTAAAAACAATTTTTATTCACTCATTCTTCTTCTCCCTTGTCACATGTACCCCTTTTCTCTCTCCTTCTTCTTCTTATTATTATCTTCCTCTCATACTGATTATGTTTTTCTCTTCTTTTTTTTCTCTCTCTCTTTCTTTCTTTCTCTCTCTCTCTCTCTCTCTAACACTCTCTCTATTTCTCTCTCTCTCTATTTCTCTCCCTTGTCCCATCTACCCATTTTCTCTCTTTTTCTTTCTCCTTCTTATATACATATCTTCCTCTCATACTGATTACGTTTTTCTCTTCTTTTTTCTCTCTCTCTTTCTTTCTTTCTCTCTCTCTCTCTCCCTCTCTCTATCTCTAACACTTTCTCTATCTCTCTTTTTCTCTATTTCGCTCCCTTGTCCCATCTACCCATTTTCTCTCTCTTTCTTTCTCCTTCTATATATATATATATATATATCTTCCTCTCATACTGAGTAAATTTTTCTTTCTGTCTCTAGACTATTCATATATAGTTTCAGTTGCAAAATACACCTATGCATCATACCATTATTCTTGTTAAACAAGTATGTCAGTTGTGATATTTTCGCAATTAGGCTAATAGCCGTGACGGATTAATCTTACGATGTATTTGTACATTAGTATTTGTATTTACATATTTACATAATAAACCTTGAATTAAATTAAATTGAATTGAATTGGATTCAAAGGGCCCAGTGCACCTAATTCACTAGCTCATATCAAGTTTCTTCCATGCAAAGAATTACCCACTCCTCTAATTTAATTATGTAACTCCATTCAATATTTGTACTTGCAAAATATTTCCATTTCACCACACTCTCCCCTACACAGAATAACATCTGCAGTCAAGAGATCTGATTCTCACGCATTTATTATAGCTTATATACAAAGTCTAGTCGTTTGAGAAGTCAGTGTCCGTTGAAATCCGATTTGGATTTACCCCATCTACCGTCGAAGTACATCCAGCTCGTAGGAAATGGAAAGAGTGTGTGTGACTGGAATACATTATTTTGGTCATGTTTGAGACTTTGAATGCTATTACCATAATTGATAAATATCGGGCATTGCACGACTTGAAAATAGTGCACGCTATTATAATCATGCACAAGATCTGAGGCTGGCTTTCGGGGGGGGGGCACAGTTTTACCCTCTCATTATTTGGAGAATAATTTAAAGATGTGAGCATAGAATCCAGTTTTGCTGGTTTTGTATTTTAATTCAATTCATTTATTTCCAAAATCCAACATCAATTAAAACAAAGTGTTAAAAAACAGCCAATGGGCAATAAAAACATTACAACACTATGCCATATCAATCAAACGATTAAGAAGATAACAAAAACAGGTATAGCATTCAATGAGAAACAATGTGAAGAAATGGGAAATTAGACCGTATAATGCATAATTCAGTATTGACAGAGTATTACAATTACATGTATAAGTGGATAATTGTAAAATGGTGAACACATTGAAAGCCAGGTTTATGGTCTGTTTGGGTGTGTAAAACTGTACACCTGTGCATTTGTTTGTTTTTACATTATCATAATAAAATTTAGAGATTGGTCGAACAATACATAAAACATCAAACATGAGAACATAAACAAAAACATATAAAAGCATCTAACAGTATGGTCTGGTTCCACAGAGATATTTGAAAAATTGAAAGTAATCAATAGGAACAAATTAAATGTTTCTTATGTTGCCTCCTGAATGTATTATTAAATGAAAAATTGATCTGGTTACGTTTTACATTATTCCAAAGAACTGGACCTAAATGTCTCAGAGAGTATCTTGAATAATCACCATTACAATATATTTCCACCGTTGAAATTTGTTTGTATTTCTTGTAAAATAACTATGGATCTTAGAATTTAAAGAGAACATATTCATGAAATACAAAGACAAAGTGTGGGTATTGAATCATTGCATAAGGGAACATATTTGTAGTTTGTTTATATCGGCTTATATCGGCTTATATCTAATAACTTAAAGTGTACATCATTTTTTAAATAGTGAGGATGAGGGTGTTCATAATTATATGTATTGCTTTTTTCTGTAATATCATTATTAGTTTAAGTGTGTACAATAAGTATTTGCCCAAACAGTGTTGCAGTAAGAAATAGTGGATATAATAAACGTATTGAAAATATTAAATAGGACAAAGGCAGGTAAAATGTTTTTCAATCGATACATAATTCTGACATAACGTGCAACCTATGAGTTTAGACATAAAGAAGTGATAATGATCCTTCCAATTTTACAACATCTATATCAAGCTTTTCCTTTCTCTCTCGCTTTTTTTTTGGGGGGGGGGGGTGGGGGGTCAAAATGGATTTTATAAACAAATACGTCGATCAAATCTGTTTGGAAACTGGTGGTTGACAGTATCCATAGAAAAATATTGTTCTAAGTATTAGCAAATCATCATAACAAATTTTGAATGGCGATGCAGTCTGTCATTTGAAATTCAACGAAATTCAAAAGTGAGTCCACAATTTAGCGTAGTCTCAACCCCCCCCCCCCCCCCCCCCCCCCCCCCCCCTCCTCCAAAATAAGGACGTCTTCGTAATCCTGTATCAGAGGCGTATCCACACTTGGTTTTGAAGGGGGTGAACGGGATGCGATGTATGGAAAGGGGGTCTTCAAAAGCAGGATAAACTACTACTTGATATCTTGCAGTGTGTTAAAGGGCGTTTCTTATTTTGTTTGCAACCTCCTCCATCTGATTTCCACAACTCGAGCTATGTAGACTTATCACCGTCACTTCTACAAAAAGTATGATTTTCATTACTATTAATAAGACAGTAATGGATACGTGACCCATTTCTCGAGCAAGAACTCGGAATTTATTGCCTTCTTCGTAAGTTCAAACATGGACAAATATTACTGGACCAAGCAAAGGTACTGATGCTTTTTTTTATGGCAAGAAGGAAATAAAATACCAGTACAAAGGTAAAATTGCTGTAATATGTTATTAAATAATTAACTTTTTTATTCTAACTTTTAATTACTTCAGAGCTGTACGTACTGTAATCTGTAAATCAGGATATTATTTTCACATCGATAACAGAGCCATCAATAGACAAGAGTATGGCTAACTTTGTTTCAATTGGGTACAACATGGCCTACACGACTTGTATATTATTTTGTTTCGTGCTTGCCCAAACGAAGCATTACTCGCCATAAAACTGGAACCGGGTTGGCCAAACTGTCCTGATCAATCATCAATGGCTATCGAACAAGGAAACACAGTATTAACTACATACATGTACTGTTGCACACTCGCAATTTCATGCTCTCCCTCTCACAACATCCCGTTTTCTTCCTTGAACTTATCTCCTCTTTCGACAACTCGTCATAATCATAATCATCACCAACACCACCACCTTAATAAAAATACATTTAACTCCATCCGCCCGTGTCGTCCATTCATCACCAATCATTATTCCTCTGCTGCCCTCATTTCCAAAGTCATTATAAGTTATCAAATTCACCATCAATCTTATATGCACCACACTCACTCCCTCCCTGTGTTTTCTCACTCTACCGACATAAATGTATAATCTCTTTCAAGGTAAGCGTATCAACAGTTCACTCCTTTCATATTCATCTTGTTAATACATGTACATGTAAATGCCCAGCTTTGGTTCATTACAGCCTCATTCTACTCTGTACAATCAAATGAGGTCGTCTATCTGTAGAAGTGTTGATCATTACTGTATCACATTCACAAACATCAAACTTCCGTTTCTGCTCACAACCAAAAACCAAAAACAAGACATTTGAGAGAAAAATTGTATTTATATTCTTTTATTTTTTTCCAAGCTCTTTGTTTACAATGGAGTGCTTTTCATAAGACACTCTTTATGTTGTTGTTTTTCTTTACACAGTTGCAACAACTTGTGTATCTTTGTTTTAGTAGCAAACAGTAATACAATATGGTTATCATATTAGAAAACGCGATCCCTAAAGCACTGCAAGTATGTAGTATGAATAATGCTGGCATATTGTTATGGGTTGAATGTCACGTACACTGAAGTCCCAACAGAATAAATTAATGAATTCCCGTTTTGACACCTCAAAATACATTATCCCTCCTAGTCTCAACTAAACACGGTATGGAAGGACTAGTACATTTTAACAATTTCTCAATAGCAACTCAATTACCCTTTGAAATCCTTCCCTCCCAAAATGTTTTTTTTTAATCAGTTTGGCAAAAGCAACTTCCATCTTTTAGAGGAATACTTGGTAGCTCCATTGCCCCCCCCCCCCCCCCTCTTGCATAGCATGCCAGGTAAGATTTATCCCTTCCCTTCATCAGTGCTAACTAAAAAGATGATTCAAAATTTGTGTCTTTTTTTTTCGTGTTAAATCCCCAGATAGACATTAGTTAAATTCAGCTCCCACATGTGGCAAGTATTGTAATATCTTCAGACAAAATTGTGAGAGTTGTAGGCATCATGGAAGGCAACTTGCTAACATTGTTTGGATTGAAAGATGAAATACTGTCCAAAAAACATGGCAACCCTTCTCTGATATTTCAAAGTAAAATTACATAACAGTTAGTACTTACTTAAACGTGAAAATGTTTGTTTCACAAATTTTTTATGGGGTAATTTTTGCATTTTTCATTAATATCCAAAGGAAATAAATTTGAAGAAAAAGTGGTTCATCTATAGCAATTACAGGGCACCTTCCAATATCCAAACAATGTTAATACAACCCTTCAAAACAGTCATACAAAAAATACACCTCACACCGGAGGCACAACAGTACTGTATATTTTGAACACAAAGCATAAATACAAAGCTATAAAGGTGACTTTCCTCCTCCTCTATAAACTTGGACAAAGTTTTTCATTCTGGTTGTAAAATGAGTTTGCTCAAGAAATAAAAAATAGACCTCTGTCAAGTAGCACATGAATATGAAACAAAACAAATGAGGGCAAAAGCCTCATAATGAACACATTTGGCCCATGAATAATCTGTATAGAAATAATAAATATCGCTGTACAATATATTTGTATAGATTACATATGAACAAATTTACAGCAAATTACAAGCTGTATCTACACTATGTACATGATGGACCATCCATATCCTTTCCTGTCCATTTTTTGTTATAAACAAATTTGGATTTCACATCCCCCAACCCCCCCCCCCCCAAAAAAAAACAACAACAACCTAATGCAGCATCAGGAATAGAAAATATACAAAAGCTACATTGTTTCCCGCAGCATGCCCCTACTCCTGCCCCCTTTTCCCAGTTGTATAGATCCCTACAAATCTGTTTCAGATCACTTCGTAGCTGGATGATTTGTCTACATTCTTCAGGCTGGAGTCATAGTCTAGGCACCACGTATGCAATGATACATTACCTTAGTTATTACTCATGACGTCAAGAACTGTGGATAAAAGGAATAGAACAAAAGAAAGAGATAATAAGATGATGTTCTGCATCACAACATGACCTACTTAGTATTCAAGATGACAATTTCTCTTTGTCAACAGAAACTGAAAAATAAAAGCCTGATGTTTCAATCATTCAAGTAGTAAATACAATACTCCTTGATGAAAAATGGTGCTGTGATTTCAGCAAATATCCATCTACTTACAAATACAAAACAAAGGGGAAATGGATAAGTTAATCACAATTATTTGACAAAAATGATACTCTCTGCATTATGTCAACAGCAAAGCCTTACAGCCTTTTTAAAAAGAAAGTATGTAATTAATGGAAGCAAACACCACAATAAGTCATGCAAATAAAAAATAAAATGGCAACTCAAAGAATCAAAGCATAGCATTTTCTTTTTCTTTTTCAATAGATGTACTTTTGTCTTATAAATCATATGGAATTCCTAGAATACCAAATGCATATCCAAATTCTCGCCTAGTTTCTGCACATCAGAATGCAATGCTTAGACTCTATGAATCAACAAATACTTATATATCAAAGTAATCGTTCAATTGATATGAGACGATAACCTTGACAGCACAGCCTATCACATGTCTTTTTGTGAGTAACATCTGGAGTTCAAATCAAGTAGTAAATTATATTTTTAAGTGGATTTTGACTGGAGACAAGCTGCATTATATTAGGTTTCACTGTAATTCTTAGAGAGCAAGTTTCAAAAGCATCATTGAAGAGAGCTACGTTTTGTGCTTCTTAACAAAAGCTGTTCTGTTCTGCATGAAATAAACAAAATGTGAGAAGGAGAGATAATGGTATGCAGTTATTATACCAGTATCATCTTGTATTCTTACACATTCAATTAGACATAAATGATATACCGTACCATCATCAATCATGTGTGGATCTGTAAAGCATGGAAGGTCAGAATTTGAATAGATGACTGCTAATTCTGCAACTTTGGAAAGATCGACCTCTGTGTTCATTAGGAATTGTGATTCACCATTCCCTGGATTGACTACTGCTGGCACATCAGCTTGAACTTGGACCATGTTACTAAGAGCAACGTCACACCTTGCCTCTGGCTGTTCAATGATCATTTCTGCTGATTGTCTCTCGAACACCTGGGGCTGTTCATTGATCATTTCTGCTGACTGTATCATATCTTCTATTTCTGCCCACTGTCTGTCGAACACCGTGTCTAAAGAATGCATGTACAGGCATAAAAAGAAGGTTAATATTGTACAAAAGATGGCAAGGGGGGAAGATGGAAGAAGCTACGCGAGTTACTGCTACACCTGAACTGCAGCTTATCCTGTAGAGAAAAAGTGATAGGATTACAAGACACTAAAGAAAGGAGAAGTGTATTTACCTTCAACATGTGTCGTCTGTAACAGATTGTTGTACATATCCTTGTTCTGCAGGTAGGCAGTAGCCAGCATCTGCAGGGTAAGAGCGAACTCTTCCTCGTTTGCCTGAGGACTGGGTGTGGGTGGTGCTTGAAGTATCACAGGTTGTGGCTCTACCTTGACAGGACCAGACGACACGGTGCTCGGGACTTGCATAAACGTTTCAACCGGCGATGTTGGTGTTGGTGGCAAGACATATGTCGATGGGGCTACTGCAAGACCAACTGTTAATTTTTGGAAAATAAAATTCAATTAGAATCTTGGTAAAACAATGATTCCTCTCCTAAGCGCTGTAAGAAAAACATTACATGATTTTTTTTTTAATCCATAATTTCTTGCAATAAGAGCTACTCACTTACATTGGGCCAAGTGAGCTTTAGTTCTGCAAAAGAGGAACATTTGTGAATGAACTCAAACATTAGCCATTGTAATTTTAGTTCATGGCATTAGGTTTCACATCTAGTGTTAGAAAAAGTGATATGTCTGGCTGACAAAAAGCACAGGGGAGGTAACTAGATATATCAATGTGATTTTGTGATTCAGGCAATGCAGGAGATGTATTGAGGTAGATTATCAAACCCCACAAAAGTCAGAGCAAGCATGAATACATATTTTCACACATCATGCAACGATATGAAAATAAAACATTATGGTACATATTTGTCTTGTACACCTTACCTTGCATCTTGTCCCCATTGGCAACAGTAGGTGTGTGCATGACCACATGATCTGTTTGGAAGAAAAATAATTGTAACCCATGTTAATCATAATGCAAAGATCGCCTTGCAGATTGAAAAGAAGAGTCATGGTCAGGTCTCGGGAGCCATCATAAATGAACCCAAAGCTCTTACAAAGTTATCAAAGATGAGAAGAAATTTTGAAACCAGGCATGCCTTTTAGTTGCTCAATAGCTGATGCAGAAGGTAATGCTTCCCAACTAACTTACAATATTAAGTACAGTTACTAGTAAAACTACTGTCTTTGCTTCTTCAAGTGAACAATCATCATTTCTTTTGATATACTCTCACCCACTTTTTCTCTCAATTTTATCTCATATTGCCAAGATATGATTTGATGACCAATGGTGCACACAAACAAAAGAGGACCACATCATATCAGACATGGCTTTCCTGCAAGAGATTCTCAGTGTTTTTTTTCCACTGGAAATCACTCTTTATCAGCAGGGCAGTAATAACCAATGTCAGATGATTATAATTTTGGTCCAAATAACTTGATGAGGGTCAATTGATGAAACAAAGATAACAAGTACAATCTACATTCCTACAAATCAAGGAAGCATCACCAAACTGCAAATATTTTCAGTTCATTCAATTTCATTTTTTTTTATGCCATTAAGGTCTGGGCAAACATTTTTCAGTTTCATTTGCCTCAGACTTTGAAATTCATTAAATTTAGTAAGTGCTTTGGTTTTTTTTTAAATATTCTTGTTTTTTTCAATGAGGAAGGAAGCGTTATGAAATTGACTTCAACTTCCTCTGATTCAATTCAAAAGTGACATTTATGAAGACTCCCTTTCGTCCAACAGAAAAGTCTGAAAGAATCCAACGATGAAAAACGCCAGCTGACCTCCGAAGGGGACATATCCCTGTAACTTTAAAACGGTCCTTTTTGTCCACAGAAAAAGGATCAAAAAGTAGGAAAGGGGGAGGGCAGAAAAAAAAGGCAAGGGGAGGAATGATTCTAAAAGAATAGAGCAAAAGAAGAGTTGCAACAACCAGTACCTGTCAAACAAAACATAACTCTACCATACATAACATTCAAAAATATAATAAAAGATAAATAAAAACGAACAAGATCACACCCAATTCTTTTTCTTAACTTTGCCGCATATAAAAGAAAAAAATCAAGTTGCCCGAAATCATGCATTATTTAGATGACATTTTTCTCTTTAGATCAATTGTTCTATTCTACTTTTAGGCAATTGATAAAAATGGATGTGAAGAAAGTTCCGATTTCACTCGAATTTTATTTAAATTTTGTTTGTATCTTCTGACAAATTTAACTAATCAATTGATGTTCTTTTCCTTGTCGTCATGTACCATAAAACTTCAGCAAGTAGGAGGTAGCATTGTCAACCTCTGAACTTAAAATGATTTTGCACACTTGTCTTGTATAAGGAGACAAGTGTTTCAACCAAATAGAAAGGTTTTGAAATGTTACTACAAGCATCAGTATTTTTTATTGTGGTACATTACAAACCAAGGTAAAGATGACGTTTTGTAGAATGATTAAAATGCTGTACTGTACTGTCTGCCGAGCCTTGCGAACTGCTGAGTGCCCAGAAGCACATTAACAGAGTAGCCTGTTAACACCTCAGCCGGAGTGCTACAAGAGCACTGAACAATGTGTGCATTATCCAAAAGGCACTGAGGGGGAAGAGCAAAGTTCATGTGATGAATACGCAACCCACCCCCATTTCTAACTAACTAAACCCAACCCACAGGGCAATATCACAGGGATGGGGACAAAAAATTATATTGCAAGCCAAGTCTTTTGTACATCACATTAGTAATTTGTCCTTTAATGGATTAAAACATAAAACATTGTGTTGCAAGATACACTCTGATGTCTCATTTCGTTTTTATTTCCTGACTTGCTGAGCTTTCACAATATGAAAGACAGGCAGGATTTGTTTAGTCCTTGATTTTCTTCTTCGATACTTCAAAAAAGTGTAAATCATGTATTTTTTTCAATGGAAAGTTAACATTTTTACCAAAATTGTTCAATTGTAATTTGGTTCAATTTTCAGTATGAATGTGTGAACAGACCTGTCTTGCAACTAAAACCCACCTAATCTAAATCATACACAAAAGACAATGCATTCAATAAAATATACTTTTGACAGTTTTGTTTAATTTATTGATATCTATTTGGTTATTCAATTTTTGATGTTTTTGTTTAATTGCAGAAATGGTACTTATTGGGATTTCCCTCTTTTTTTTAATCACCCTCAATAACAATTGTGTTATTATTAATTTTTTTTTTTTGGGGGGGGGAGGGCCTCAGTTTCTTTTTCGGTTCATTCTTTCTTTTTTAATGTTTGAAAAATGTAAAATAAAGATATCAGATCTAGAGCTTGGAATTAAAAGCATTAGTCGATAAAAAGCTGAAAATAAATGCCAAGGTATTTACTGAATGCATTCTCAAAAACAATTATTGAACATTTTATCACAAAACATGATAGAAGCATGCTGCAAATGCTGTGTAAAACAGTAAGGAATTCCCAAACATTCACAACTGAATTTCTGGAATCTTTAAATAAAGTACCCAACAATTTTCATTGGTTGATATCTTTCAATAAATGCGATGCAAAGGGCTCATTAGTTTAGAACTTGTGAAAAATGTACACATCCGAGAATAGTACGAGCCACATCTTTTAAAATTTAGGTTTGGAGAAAAAAGATCCTCATTGGTAGAATATAACAATGAGTACATTGATTTCTCTTTTGGCCGAAATAGATCTGCAGCATTCTTCTTTCAATACATGGGTCGCACATCATGGATTTGCAGGTGTAAGACACTCGTGTGATATATTAGAATGGTATTTGTCATTTCTTGTTTAGTCTTTGACATTATTTCATGGCATAGAATAGTCTCCTTTTTAAAGCCAATTAATGAAGAATTCAGATGGATGTAACATTTAAATCATGCAGTATAATGCTGACAAATATGTTTGAACAAATACTCAAATGAGCAATTTTTCTTTTGATACCATTAAATGATGAATGCAATCAGTGACTGTCCATTCTAACTTTCAAACGAGTGACCAGAATTCTTATTGATAACTGAATATTGTCCAGGAAAAAAATGAGCAGAAGTTCATTAATGTTGCATATCAGTAAATATTTTAATTACTAAATACCATACAACAATAATTCAGTCTTCAATTAAGCAAGTAATTAGGTCATCAAAATCATGACACAAAGGACTTTTTCAAATGTGAACTCAGAAATGCACTTTTGCCAAAGCTCCACATATCTAACTTACAAGAAAAAGGATGAAAAATGTTTTATGTATTTTGGCAAGATTTCAAAATAAATGACCTTCAAACCCTTATTTTGTTACTGGACAAAATTGCTTAATACAAAACCACCACCAACCTGCAAATCCAAGAAATTCTTGTCAGTAGAAACAATGTGTCTATCACTATTTTCATTTTTGCTCTTGTGACAATTTTGTGGATGAGAATAGACCAAAAATCAGTTTGGATACTTTGAACTCATCAAACTGTATTATAAATTCAGTTTTTTTATTATGAAGATGACAAAAAACTTTCCACATGGAGTACATTAGGCTAAATGGCACAAACATTAACTTCCAAGCACATTGAATTGTCAAGTCTCTTGGAAGTCTCTGGGAGGAAAAAATTATCCAGAAATGTTCTTGTGCAAAATTTGGGTGGAATTTCTCTGGCGAGAGACACATTGGTCATTTCCATGCACATTTCTAATGAGCTGACAAGAAAAACCTGCACGACCAAAATCTCTCCTTGTCAGGGGACTTCGAAATGGTGTCTCTTACCAATCTTTGGCTGATACACAATAGGATGGGCGTCCGAGTCGCTACATTGGTTTGGTTTGCCCGTTACTACCAGGTACACTGTCGCTGGTGTCCTCAAGTTCTGGTTTGGGTATGGAGGGATCTTACACACAATGTGGTTCTGTAAGTCAAAATAGAACAAAATATGGTTCAACAACATTTTCAAGTCTATTCTTTTAAAAGTTATATACTTGCAACATAAAACACCTTATGACAAAAGTATCTAAGAAACATAACAGAGACTTTGCTCCGAGAAAAAAAAAACATATAAAATTGAACTTACATTCTGAAATAAGGCCTTGTCGATCTCACAATTCCCTTCCCAAGTCATTTTGCCACTGCCATCCAGCTGCCTAAGCTTGACTTCTGTGTTGGCCTTTGATGTGAAGTTCTTGCCAATGATGAACAGTTCTTCCCCGCCAGCCACTGAGCACTGACTCAAACTCTTCTTCAAAATCTCAGGATGCCCAAGCGGTTGTGCTGTTGATTGCAAGACACAAAGGAATATATTGAGTTGAGAGATATCACCTTGGTAAATTATAACCAGGATGCACTACATTTAAAAAGCTCATCTTAAACATTGTGTTCTACATGAATTTCACATCAAATTTACAAAGGTATGAGCTAACTAAAAGAGAAAAAAAATTCATAGAAAACTTACTGCATGTTATTGACCGTGAGACGGTTTGCACAACATTGAAGGAACCATCTGAAGCAGGCACGATAACCCTGAAGGCTAACCGGACACAGGTGCTTTTTCTCTTTGACCTGAGTGGCCCTATCCTCTGCTCAACGTCAGCATTCCTCAGCTTCAGGATGCCAATGCAGTCGACACTGATTTCCATCTTGCCATCGACAGGCTCCCACGGAACCTCCAGAACCGTTGTTCCTTCCACGTCCTTCTCCTCAGAAGGGGTTGTGTTACGGCCAGTCACTTTGCAAGCCTGGTAGTAGCCATGAGGACGAACTTTCCCTTGGTCAGTGACAACAAAGACTTGAAGAAGAACTTGTTGGTTGATGCCAAGAAGCTGCAAAGTCAAATTTAAAAAAAAATTACATCTAAAGCAAACATTGCTGGTAGCAAGGAGAAATCTGAAAAACTAATTAATGTGATAAAAAGACAAAGACAGTTTCAGAACGTATTGCATTTCACCAAAACAGTACTTAAATTAGTTTACAAATTACACAACAGAGAATTGCTTACTTTGAGTTTGGGAAAGTTTTCACCGCTGTCATCTTTGACACTTCCTCTGCTTCCTTCAGTCCTGTACCTTGCTCTATGGTGTTTCTCTGGCTGAACAGTAATGTGAATCTCCCCTCCATTGAGCTTATCTGGCAGGGTCTGGATTAGACTAGGATATTTCCTTGCCCTCTTCCTAGGGGTGAGTCCACAAGAGCTATAATTCAAAAGAAATAACAAATCGTAAATCAGACACGTTCTTAAAGTCTTACAAGTATTGTGTGGTTCAGATTGATGACTACTTCCATTGACTCTGCTCCTGGTATTCAGACTGCAAGAGATGAGGAAAAGTGATTAACACAAAAAAAAGTGTATAAATGATATTAGTTCACACAGCATGAAAGGGGCATTCATGCTGTATGTGTAAACACGACCATAACAAACATAGGGGGTTGAATGTACCTTAATGACGTTGCTGAACGTTTCCTAATGGGCTTGGATGCCTCTGATGGGGTCTCAACTCCTTGTTGGCTGGGCTGCAAGAGCTTGTGAAGAGCGACAGTAAAGTCATTGGGTGCAGCAGAGGAATGCAGGCCTACCATGGGACTTCTTGGGGACAGGTCCAGGATTGGTTGGTTTATGGCTGGGCTCATGGCTGGGCTCTTGCCCTGACTTTCATATGACTGGTCCCATGAACTGTAACATGTGTCCTCATCCAGACAAGAAGAAAATAGGGAGCTTGTATCGTCAGCTAACAGGCCTTCATCATGGTTAGAGCCAGTACTTGAGGGTGTTGATGCATCTCCCCAGTCACTTTTGGCAGACATGGGCGATGACAAATCAGAGTTTGTGTCATACCCATGGTCCAAATCATCCACTCCACTTACCTCACCAGCTACTATAAGGTCTCCACATTCAGAATCTGGATATTATAAAATGTAATAATGTATAAGCCTTTGAAAATTTGGTCCTAGATTGTCAGTCACCTGCATGTTAGTGAAAGATTTGCAAGAAATATGTGCCTTACAAGAATAGTCCTTAACATATTACTTTTCACAGCATCCTGTAATGTGATCATAAATGCTTTACATCCATTAACATGCATAATTTTGTAAATTAAGAGCTACTGTATGCTTTTTTTTAAAGTTTTCATAAAAATAGAAAATGTAAATGAGAACGAAAGGATCTAAATTTACAGGACTTAAACTGTTACTTGACATGCAAACATATCTTACCTTCATTCAGCATCACATCTTGCATCAAGTTTGCACCTGCAAATGAACAAAGCAGAAAAAAATAACAAATAAGTAACCTATCAATATTCACTTTCACTGAAGTTATAACTTAAAGCGAACCTTAAAGTAAACCGGTAGCATTGTGGAAGCTTGATGGAAAAAAAAATGTAATTTTTGTATGAAATTTTACTTAGGGTCTAGTCTACTATATTCCTTCTACTGTACTAACCCTCTACAAAAAATCCTGAAAAATTTCTAACCACAAAGATTTTTAAGGTTTTCTTTGAAGGCGTCAATGTGTAACCCCCTCTACTAACACCAACAGTGGATTCTCCCAAACAATTTTTGAATTTTACCCAACCGATTTTCCATGAACAGAAGACATAAAATGGGCTTTTCAAAATATTTCAACAATTAAAGGTTTGGAACGGTAAATACAGCCAATTCAATGCTTTGTGACGATTTACATTCACCTAAAATTGAATTAAATTATAATAATATAGTTGGGAGAATTTAGGAATTGATCAGATAAGTTTTTCCAGATTTTTATCAAATGGTCTGGAGTTAACATTTCATAAGTTTCAAAATATTGAAATTGTCAATAAAAATACATTATAAAAGTCTCAATGCAGAAGTGCACCTCATCATGATCATTATCAAGTTCATATTCAAAACAAAAACAAAAACCAAATTGAATGTCCTATAAAATTCTATTGCATCAATTATTTAAACTCAATCTCATGACAAAAATTGTTTGCTTGAACTCGATCAGTCTCACTCTCACTCAGTCCGGACCCCCAAAACTGACAAGAGACGGACCATCGACCAGTCACCATGGTCACACTCACAAAAAGATGAAGACATGATCATGTTTGCCAGCTCTTGTTAGCTAGATCCTTCTAAATTTACACATTATTAAAAATGACTTCTGATTGGACCCTCTCAATTCTTGCTTTACTCTTTACAACTTACAAGTTTCACTTGTATTGTAAGTTACATGTGTGTAAAAAAATGTAGGCCTAACGCAAAATCCAGCAGCTGGCGATGGGCGAGAGCGCGCGCGCGCGCGATCCAACACAGTAACGGACAAAATTTGCATAAGTCACGTGATATGCAAATAAGAAGTTCGCTATTTTTTCGTGGTCGCCATCTTGAATCCGACACTACCGCGCCCAGAAGCGCCCAAAAGCGCATGTTTTTCTGAAAATAATTGGACAAACTAGAATTATCCACGATTCTGACACGATCTTTGGAAGGGAAATAAATTTGTCGTATTATACACACACATCGATATTTTCAATGTTTTGTTCTAAAACTAAAATAATGAAATTTTCATACACACCTTTCATGAAATCAGATTGAGTCGAAGAAAACAGGGTTTCAGACAAAATGTTTCCCTGCAGAGAGAAGAAATTAGAACCCCCAAATGACTGAGATTCCATAGACATGTTCGGTACTTGTTTTATCAATGGCTGGAGCATAAAAAGTCAGATAATTCACAAAATTCTTGATATTTGGTTTTAGGATTCACAAGCGTAGTTCCGTCGGCAACGAGAGACAGACCACGACTGATGAGAAAATGTGATTCCGCCCGATATATAGAAAGCTCGCAAGGATCGCCATGACATCATAAGCGGTGTATTTGATTGGTCAATGATGAGGTAATAGGTTAAGCCATGCTGTCACTCACACGGGATTGGTCCACTAGCAATTAAGTCATGACCAATCACCGAGCTCTATTTAGAGGTATTGCAGGGGCTCGAATGTTTACGTCATAAAAATACCCTCGAACGCGGATCTTTCCCAGCTGCTTCTCAGGGCGAGCTCCTTCGCTACATTCGCTCACAATGCGGGTTGATTATGGGCCCCAGGCTAGGCATGCACGTATCACCGCGGCGATTGCGGTATAGCTAGGCAGGCAAGCATAATTATGGCTCGTGGCGTCTGGGGGTACAATTCACATTTTGTCGAAAGAAATATCCCTGCGCTGTATGTATTTGTAGGTAACGAGGAATAGAATACTAATTTCCTTCATCATTTCTTGCTTTGGAGGGTCTTTTTAAAAGATAAAAGAAGATAAACATAGAGACCCTTGTGTGAAGTTTCTGTAGTAAAAAATTAGCGGTTTTGAATATTGAATATTTGAGCTTTTCCGTGCGTATGTGTAGAGTTTTGTCTCGCTTTGATTTATTATTTTATACAAGGCCTACTAAATATAATGTCATTAAAGAATAATAAAACAGAAAATAATTGCAGGAACATTTTCTCAACAGTCTAAATGAACATCATCGAAGATTATATAAATGGTAAACAATATCCAATAAGATCATTCTACATTTTTCTCCTCGATTTACAGCAACTTCGTTGAATCCACACTCTCACTCTCAGACTCATCAAACAATAATAACTGACATCCAAATTAATATAATCCATGCATTTTTGTTTAATACTAGGCTATGATGAGGCCTGAGGCCTACCTTTAGCGAGCTTCAAAAGAAAGATCGGCCATATATAATTATAAAAAATAAATAAATAAATAAATAAAAAATAAAAAAGTAAAACAAAACGAAATCCGCACTTCCTTCTTAGTTACTTTTTTCTTCAAACTCAAAACTGACAAAGATAACGTGTTTCTCGTCCGGACATTAAAAAAAAAAGGAGAATGCATGCAGGGCATTACTATTTAGGCCTACTATTTTGCTATTTTTGCTCTTTTTTTCCCAAGATGGCTTCAATGCTAATTATAGCTGGACAAGCCTATTTATTTACAGATATTGTGCTATCTGAGTATACTGATGCTATGTGTGACAACACAAATGAATTGTATCACTTCAAGTTAGAAGCTATTTAAACAAAATGTATATCACAGGCTTTTTTCAGGTGGGCTGTATCTAATACAGACCACCTTATAATTTTGTTAAAATTGCCTTTATTATTATCAGGTGGGCTGTATCTAATACAGACCACCTTATATTTTTGTTAAAATCGCCTTTATTATTTATTTATTAGGTGGTCTGTCAACGACAGATCACCTATTGTTTTCGTCAGAATTTTCTTTCTTTATTATTATTATTATTATTTATTTTTATTTATTTTCACACTTTTTTGTTAACAGGATAACTCAAGATCAGTTTAGTCAATTTCGTTCAATTTTGGCACAGTCATAGGTCATTGTCATGAGACGTTAGAGTAACATTTTCAAGGTCATCAAATCTTCATGACGTCATCCAGGCGCCATTTTGTGTTTTTTTTGGTACTTTCAACTCATGATCATATCTTCATAACGGAAAGGCATTTCTTATTCATATTTATCATGATTTAGGTCAATATCCGTCCGGTCAATTTCCGGTCAAAAAACGCGCGCGCATGCGTACGTCCGCGCGTAAGCGCGCGCGCAAAATTTCAAAATGCTCAAAATCGTCTCAAATTTTTTTTGCATACGTTTCATGCCATTTTAAGCATTTCGCAAAAAAATGCGCACACGCACATGCGCGCGCGTTTTCGCGCGTAATGGCATTTTGCAACATAGAATCGCCAAATTTTCTATGACATCATATTTGGCACATTTTTTCAAGCATTTTGATACCTTGTTCACCTTTTTCTGACCATTAATAACGGAATGAGCGTCCGTTTAAGATAATTTCCGTGCGTGCGAGCTCTTGTAATACATAGCATACATGGGCAAAAACATGCCTATACAAAATCCATTGTAGCGCTTTAGGATGGAAGATGAACCCAATTTTGTTTTCATATTTTGATAGAGTATGAATTGAAAATATGATTTCATGTCTCATTTGACCCTCAATTAACTCATGACGTCATCATAATGGCCTCCCAACTCAAAATTTCAATTTGCATATTATGACGTCAGCAGATTTCTTGAAAATTGATTGTATCTCTGTAAATATTGATCAATTTTCATCCAAATTTTGATATGTTTTAGCTGAGACAATTCCCTACAGATGCAGTAAACACGAATTTTCATTTTGACGAAAGCATCATGGCGTATTTTTGCGATTAAAGGAGGCATGTCAATTTTTTACATTTAGCGTGTATTCTCTATGGGACATGACTTTTTCTCAAAACTGGATTCTACATCCTGTCTTTTGCGAGCAATATCTCCGTCGTTTTAGCTTTGTTTACGCTGAACTTTGAGTATGTTGTAGCTGAGACAATAAGCTATCACAAGTGTGCCCTTTATTTTTCGATCAGATGCCGGGATCATGCTCATATTTCAATTACAAAGTGGGATTTGTGCATTCCATTTTCCGTTTACGTGTAATCTCCATGGGAAATGTTTTGGTATATCGGTAACGCACTTGACTTCCGACCTCGAGGTCCCTGGTTCGAATCCGGGCGTCTCCAACAATTTTTGTTCTTCACTTTTTTTTCTTTTTGACCATTCACTCTACCATCTCCTTTGAATATTAAAACACGTACAATCGCAAATAATGTAATAAACAACCATATTTACTTTATTATTACCCTATTATCAATAGATCCATTACTTTTTGCGTGTAATCCTTATGGGAGATGACTTTTTCTCAAATCTGGATTCTACATTCTTGTCTTTTGCGAGCAATATCGCCGTTATTTCGGCTTGATTTTTGTTGATTTTTGAGTATGTTGTAGCTGAGACTATATACTATCTAAATGTTCTCTCATTTTTTTCAGTCTGATGTCATCGTGGTCTGTTGATGATAATCATCAACATCATCATGATCATCATCATCATCATCATCGTCATCACCATAACTATCAAGAACATCATCATCATCATCATCATCATCATGATCATCATTGTTTACATGTCTATATAACTTCTCCCTTTCTCAATATAGTAAATATTATAATCTATCATAAGACTTGAAGACAGACCACCTAATTCGTCCCCATGACGAATTAAATGTCTAGTTTATTATTTATTTTTCTTATTTCGACCCACTTTTTTGTTAGCAAGATAACTTTGTAATGATTCAATCAAATGCTTTGATATTTGGCACACATATGTATAGGCATATGGACAAAACACGGTAAGGTTTTCAACCTTGACCTTGACTGATGACGTCATCTAGGCGCCATTTTGTGAAATTTTCTGAAAATCAACTCATGATCATATCTTCATAACCAAAATTCATTTCTCATTCATATTTATCATGATCAAGGTCAATATCAGTCCGGTCAATTTCAGGTCAAAAAACGCGCGCGAGCGCGTACGTCCGCGCGTCAGTGCGCGCGCAAAAATTTTAAATGCTCAAAATCGTCTCAAATTTATTTTGCATACGTTTCAGGTCATTTTAAGCATTTTATAAAAAATCGCGCGTACGAGCATGCGCGCGCGTTTTCGCGCGTAACACCATTAAAAAACATAGAATCGCCATTTTTTTTTCTTTCATGATATTTCTCATACTTTTTCAAGGAATTTGATTCCATGTTTATCTCTTTATGACTATTATTAACAAGATGAGCGTAAATTCAAGATAAATGTCAGTGCACGCGAGGTCTTTTAATACATAGCATATATGGGCAAAAACATGCCTATACAAAATCCGTTATAGCTCTTTGGAATGCACCGGGATCCTCAATTTTTTTTCATATTAAGATAGAGTATGAGTCGGAAATATGATTCCATGTCTCATTTGGCCATTAAGTGTATCGTGACATCATCACAATGGCCTTGGAACTCAAAATACGAATTTGCATATTATGACGTCAGCATGTTTATGTAAAATGGATTGTATCTCTAAATATTGATCAATTTTCTTCAAAATTTCGATATGTTGTAGCTAAGACAATTGTCTACAAGCGCAGTAATAACCATTTTTCATTTTGATGACGTCATCATAGTGAAAATTTTGATTAAAGACCTCATGTCAAAAACTTCATAATTTGCGTGTTATGCCTATAGAAGGTGAATTTAGTTCACGTTATGAATCTACATGATATTGTCTTTTAAGAATTTGTAAGCAGTATGTCGCTTATTTTTGCTCTAATTTGTCTCAAATGTTAGTTGACCAGCCCACCTATACTTGTTCCAAACAAGTATTATATGTCTAGTTTATTATTATTATTTATTTATTTTTCTTATTTCGACCCACTTTTTTGTTAGCAAGATAACTTTGAAATGGTTCAATCAAATGCTTTGAAATTTGGCACACATATGTATAGGCATATAGAAAAATCAAAATAATCTTTTCAACCTTGACCTTGACTGATGACGTCATCTAGGCGCCATTTTGTAAAAATTAACTCATGATCATATCTTCATAAAGGAAAGTCATTTCTCATTCATATTTATCATGATCAAGGTCAATATCTGTCCGGTTAATTTCATGTCCTAAAACGCGCGCGTGCGCGTACGTCCGCGCGTAAATGCGCGCGCAAACATTTTAAATGCTCAAAATCGTCTCAAATTTTTTTTGCATACGTTTCAGGTCATTTTAAGCATTTTATAAAAAATCGCGCGTACGAGCATGCGCGCGCGTTTTCGCGCGTAACACCATTAAAAAACATAGAATCGCCATTTTTTTTTCTTTCATGATATTTCTCATATTTTTTCAAGGAATTTGATTCCATGTTTATCTCTTT